TCCCTCCACGTGGGAACCTCTGGTAACATTGGACTAGCATCCGCTGGTGCAATGGCTAAAATGAGCGACGAACGCTACCTCGGTTTGAGGTTGGTGCGCTGGGCTTGGCACCAGCCACTGTAAAAAACGCCAAACCAATGAAACCGTTGAGAAAGCCTCGGATACGGACCCCCTCTGATGACGACCTATGCAAACGTTTTAAGGACCACGATATACGGATATGCACTTGGAATGTCCGAACCCTCCATAGGGAAGGTGCCACTATCCAGCTGGTAAATGTCCTACAGAAATATAGAGCTGACATTACCGCACTCCAGGAAATGCGATGGACTGGACAGGGATGCTCGAAAGTATCTACCTTCGACATCTACTACAGCGGCCATATAGAAAAGCGCGAATTCGGATGTGGATTTGCTGCGAATCAAAGACTCCGACAATTTGTCTCCGCCGTTCGATGAACGACTGGCAGCAATCCGCATCAAGGCAAAATATTTCTATATTAGCATTATTTGCGCCCATGCCCTGACGGAAGAGAAAGACGAGTCCATCAAAGATATATTCTACGAGCGCCTGAACACGCTATATGAGCGCTGCCCTCAACATGATGTCAAAATCGTACTTGGTGACTTCGACGCCAAGGTTGGAAGAGAAGGTATCTTTCGTGGAACTGTCGGAAAACACAGCCTACACGTCAACACGTCCGATAACAGAATGAGGCTGATTGACTTCGCGGCGGCCCGAAATATGGTTATTAGTAGCACCAGATTCCAACATCTCGACATCCACAAGGCGACCTGGCTATCCCCTGATCGACAGACCCGAAACCAAATCGATCATGTGATGATTGACGGAAGACATGTATCTAGTGTGCTAGATGTTCGCACGATCCGTGGAGCCAACACTGATTCGGATCACCACCTTGTAGCAGCCAAGGTACACGCACCCGTCTTAGTGTGCATTATAACGCACAGTTAGGCACACGAAGAAAACTAGACGTCAGTAAGCTGCAATCACAAACGGTAGCTAACGCCTTCACCTCTAGACTCTCGGATCTGCTTCGCCGAAGCACCTCCTCCGAACCCGAAACAATATGCTCACAGTGGAGTAATATCTCGCACTCTCTCGCTACCACTAGCAGAGAGGTGGTAGGCTACTACCGCCCCAAGCGAAATTGCTGGTGTGATGATGAGTGCCGCCGAGCAACGGTAGAGAAAAACGCCGCGTACCAACGAACCCTACAGTCATCAACGACGCGAGCTGTTATAGAGCGATACAGGGAGAAGAGAAAGAATGAGAGACGCCTTTTTAGACGCAAAAAAAGGGAACAAGAAAGGCGTGAGGAAGAGGAGATAGAAATGTATGGAAGCAGAAGAGATGCCAAAAAATTCTACGACAAGCGTCTTACCGCAGGTTGCAAGCCCGGGCCAACATTCTGCAAAGATAAAAACGGAAATCTGGTAACAGATATGAAGGAATCACTAAGACTTTGCAGGGACCATTTCTCTAAGCTATTAGCAGGTGAAGACGACCAAAACTCCGTTGGCGAAGGACCGATGTCAATAGGGCAGGCACTATTTTTTATAAAAGTGTCATGCTGCTAGCGTATGCCGACGATATTGACATCATTGGCACAAACGCACGCGCAGTGAGCGGAGCTTTCACAGAAATTGAGAGGGAATCGAAAAACATGGGTTTGGCGGTAAACATGGACAAGACAAAATACTTCCTATCTACAAGCAGACAGACGCGGCGTATTGGAAACAATGTCTCTATAGATAGATATGACTTTCAAGTAGTAGAGGATTTTGTCTTCCTAGGGACCAGCATAAACAACAGCAATGACGTCAGCTTGGAGATTCGCCGTCGGATAACCCTTGCCAACCGGTGCTACTATGGGCTAAGTAAACAGTTCATGAGTAGATCACACTCTCGACTCACTAAGCAAACCCTCTACAAGTCCCTTATCTTGCCTGTGCTTCTTTACGGCGCTGAAGCATGGACATTAACAACACCTGATAAGGCGACACTGGGAGGTTTCGAGAGAAAAATCCTGAGACGAGTCTACGGACCCCTAAACGTTGACGGCGAGTATCGAATACGAATGAACTATGAGCTGTATGAGCTATACGGCGACATTGATGTAGTGAAGCGCATTCAGATCCAACGACTGCGCTGGCTAGGTCATGTCGTCCGCATGGATGACAGTGCTCCAGCCAAAAAAGTATTCGATTCAGACTCTGCTGGTGGACGACGCAGAAGAGGGCGACCGTGTCTGCGATGGAAAGACCAAGCTATGCAGGACCTTAATAGACTTGGTGTGACCAATTGGAAGTAAAAACGACATCCGGTTGTAATGGCCACAAAAGAAGAAGAAGTAAGCATGTTTGCAGTCAACCAAAGCATCAGCATCAACAACAGCTGCGGGCAGCGCTTGGACAGTAAATATATTTATGGCTATAACTTCTTGTTAAATCGGTCCATCATAGTGAAACTTGGCATACGGACACATAATCACTAACTGGGGTATTTGCGGAGTAACGATTTGCATGGGAGAGGGGGAGGAAGGGAAATTCCAAAATACACATTTTCTGCGTATTCACATAATGCATAAGGGTCTGCCACGCCTACTTCTGCCTGTTACATTTTTCAGCTCGCGCAAACCTAGTATAGTCTTGTACATTTCATTTACAGAGTATAAAACAAGTAAAAAAGCTAAAGTCGGGTGTCCCGACTTTGAAATACTCTGTACATACATATGTTTACAATAATTATAGAAAATAAAAAAATTATGAAACTTAAAAAAAAAATTTTGATCGATTTTACCTTTCTCGGTATTCGAACTCACGTAAAGGGTTTAAAATTGCACATTTACATAGCAATTGCGTCTGTGTGAGTGTATGTATGCCTATGCGCATCTATTCGTGTCTGTGTAAACATGTTAGCAGTCAACCAAACAGCAACATCAACAAAATCCGCGGGCAGCGCTTGAGCAGCGCTGCAGCAGCAAATATATTTATGGCTATAACTTCTTGTTAAATCGGTCTATCACAGTGAAACTTGGCATACGGACACATAATAACTAACTGAAGGCATTTGCAAAATTGCGTTCGAAATTCCAAGAGCTACGGGAGAAAATCGCGATTTGCATGGGAGAGGGAGGGAGGGAAATTCCAAAATAAACATTTTCTACGTATTCACATAAGGCATGTGGGAATAAACTTGTTAACAAGTAAAAAAGCTAAAGCCGGGTGTCCCGACTGTGAAATACTCTGTACATATGTTTACAATAATTATAGAAAATAAAAAATAAAAAAAAAAGAAAAAAATTGGATCGATTTTACCTCTCTCGGTATTCGAACTCACGTAAAGTGTGTATAATTGCACATTTACATAGCAATTGCGTCTGTGTGAGTGTATGTATGCCTATGCGCTTCAATCCGTGTCTGTGTAAGCATTTTCGCAGTCAACCAAACAGCAACATCAACAACAGCCGCGGGCAGCGCTTGAGCAGCGCTGCAGCAGCAAATATATTTATGGCTATAACTTCTTGGTAAATCGGTCTATCATAGTGAAACTTGGCATACGGACACATAATTACTAACTGGGGGTATTTGCAAAATTTTAGTTCGAAATTCCAAGAATTACGGGAGTTAGAGAAAATCGCATTTGCGGGGGAGAGGGGGGGAATTCCAAAATATACATTTTCTGCGTATTTACACAAGTCATCTTGGACTAAAATTTGGTGTGCCTAGGTCTTATAGTCGCCGAGATATAGGCGATTATACGAATGGAAAATCGGGAAAACCCCCATAGGGGGGAAGTGGGTGGGGGGGGGGAATCAAAAAAATAAAACAAACTCGTATAGAATACACACATAACGCATCTTTGTGAAAAATTTGGTGTCTCTATCTCTTATAGTCTCTGAGATCCAGGTGTTCATACGGACGGACAGACAGACAGACAGGGCTACATCGACTCGTCTTGTCACGCTGATCAAGAATATATATACTTTGTGGGGTCTGCCACGCCTCCTTCTGCCTGTTACATTTTTCAGCTCCCGCAAACCTAATATACTCTTGTACATTTCATGTACAGAGTATAAAAAGTATAAATATGTTTGGGCAATAATCACATAAAAAGAAATATAAGTCAGTAAAAGTTGATAGTAGGGTACTACTTTAATTAACACGATAACTTTAGTTGAACTGGAGTTTCTACCTTCAATCGCTGGTTTGGATCTCGCGATTTGTGACTTGTGATCGAAGAACGTATAGAAGTGTGACTGAATGGTATTTATTTTACCAATTCTACATCAATTAGGCCTGGCATTTTCAGCTTTTTGTTCTCACCATGAGGGTTATGAAAATTCATAAATTAAGAAAAAAGAAACACAACCTTCATATTTTTTCTTTTTCAATACTTGTAAGTAGTTTTTTTTATATATAGTAACTTGTAGTTTTTATTTTTAAAACAATACATACATTAATTTTTTGACGCGCTTAAATTCACAATACAATCATACATATATACATATGTATGCATATCTTACGAATTCGCTGAAAACTATCTTATTTTGGGGTGGGGGGTATTCACAAAAGATTCATATGATTTTGTTCGACACATATGAACATACATCTGCATATGCATGCATATGTAAATTTACATATACATATGTACATATGTATTTATACTTGTGCAATAAAACACAAAGTACAGTCATCGCTATTTCGTCTAAGCTTCCAAAATTTTAGAGTCGGCAATAGATACCTCACCTTTAAACTACCCAGCGCGTGTTTAATTATTTTCTTAGTACGTACATATGTATGTATGTATGTATATACGTATGTGAATGTATGACTTACATTGCACAGTATACATGTATGTATGTATGCGCTATATATGTATTTATTTATGCACTAAATGTTTATGTATGTATGCACTATATATATACGTATGTATGACGTTCACAAAAAATATCGACTAGAAAACGTGTGGACAAGTAAATTATTAAAATATAATTCATAAATGATCAAAGGGAATCTGTTTAACCGAAGCATTATGTAGAACTAATAATATCCACATTTGTTTATGTTATTAAACGTGGTGCATGGAGGCCGTGCACATTTTCAATCGGCGGGCAGTGCGTTGCCCCTGGTGGCCCCCAGTCGTGCAGACCTCGTGAGTTCGCCAAGCGATGCGTCAGTCGATGGGCAATGCTAAAGCCGCCACTGCCCTCTAGTTGGGTAAGCACAATTATGACTTGCCTGCGATATGAAATACATTTAGATCTGACATTAAATTAAATTTATTATAAAAAGGATTACCTCTGAAGGGGCGGCACCGAGTCCACTGTCTTGAGCTCGCCGCGCGTCGAGACAACATTATAGCTCTCCTGGCAATCACATTTGACATGAATCCACTTGTTCTCGTGACGATTCTCGACCATTACAACTAGACCAGCCCAACCCTAAAACAGGCAATATAGAAAAATGTTTAGTGCTCACCCATTTAAAAAGTAGCTAGAAAATATACATAGCCTGGACCCCACAAAGTATATATATTCTTGATCAGGGTGACAAGCCGAGTCGATATAGCCATGTCCGTCCGTCTGTATGAGCGCAAGGATCTCAGAAGGTACAAGAGCTAGAATAACCAAACTTGGTATCGAGGTTCCCCTAAGCCCTAGGCAGGTCAAGTTTGTTTTTTTATTTTGATACACTCCCCCGCAATTCGTGTTTTTTCTTATAACTTCCGTAATTCTCGGAATTTTGAAATCAATTTTGATAGGTGCATCAAGTTAATGTGTCCGTGTGCCAAATTTCATCATGATACGTCAATTCTGAAGAAAGTTATAGCCATAAGTAAAATCGCTGCTCATGCGCTGCCTGCAGCTCTGTCGGCAGCGCTGCCCGCAGCTGTTGTTGTTGTTGCTGCTTTTGTTCAACTTTGTGCTGCATACATACACGCATATAAACACGCATAGGTACGTGATGTAAATGTATGCTGTTTAAGCTGAACATAAACATGTATTCAAATTTAATTTTTTAAATTATTTTAATTAATTAATTCATTCATTTTTTTAAATAATTTAATTTTTTTAATTTTTTTTTTTTTACTTTTTCCTTTTTGTGGAGAGTACAGGCTATTTTACTGTCGGGCTTGCTCGACTGTAGCGTTCTATCTTGTTTTATATTTTTAATACTGTCCACAATTCCAAAGCTATATGAACTTGCTACTGTTGTTTAAACTTTTATCAAAATCGCTAAATTCTAAGAAAAGTTATTAGCGAAAAAATAGTACTCCAGTATTAAGCCTACAAATTGCAGCACCCAGTCCGCTCTTCTTCTTGTTTGGGTACATGGTACTTTATTTCGGGCTTGGTCGACGGTACCCCGTTCTATTTTGTTTACTTTTCGCTGGCCCGTCACAATAAGCTCCGCATAAACCTCGTACGAGTGAGGGAGCGCGCTAAGTTTACATGCTCTGTTTTTCCAACTGCGGCTGGTATTTAATTTTTGTTTCTATCAATAATTAGCAAAAGTGCATATTCCGACTGAATAACAACATTTTTGAATTCAACTGTTTTTATTGTACAATATAGGACAATATCCTACCTTGTAGCTCCTTTATATCAGGGTATTGGGCTGATCTTGCACTTGTTTCTCAAAAGTGGTTGTAGAACCACACTAATTTGTAGAAATTACCTTTGTTAAATAATATGCTGTCATGCCCTCGCGTCCCTCATGGCGCTGACCCTTTGTAAGGGTAAGGCTAATAATCGCGTCAGCCAGTAAATGGGGCGAGGGACTAATCTGCTCTACCAGCAGGCGCTTCGAACTGTGAATGGCCAAAATGCATTGTGGGTACTGATGAGGATCTTCGATGCCCGTGTGCCAGTGGTTAAATGCTAAACACACTAGCAAATAGATGTCCCGCTCTAGCATCTTGTGACAGCCGACGAAGCCTCGTACCTGTTTTGAAATTGATACCGTATAAATGGAAAATGGAAGTAATTAAATCAGTTGTGCCGAAATATATAGTGTGGTGTTGTAGATAATTTAGTCAAAAATTAAATGTTTTATATACCCCAATACACTCTTGATACCAATCTAAATATGAAAGGTAAGAGTCAGCGGGCTCAGCTCTTAAATACCCTGTACCAACTCTCACAAAAAAGAAACAAAATTTAAAAAAAAAAAGGAGAGAACAAATAAAATAAACTCGTGTAGCCTAGGGACTAGGAGCATCCACACATTAAGTCTAGTTAGTATGCGCTCAGCCGTTTTCGAAATCCAGGCGTTCATCCAGACGGATCCTGCTGATCAAGAGTATATATACTTTATGGGGTCGGAGACACTTCCTTCTGCCTGTTACATACTTGTTCACTAGTGAACATAGTTGTATGAATAGCAGGGTACAGGGTATTAAGAGTTGAGCCTGCTCGCATTAGCATTCCTTTCTTGTTATACTCTTTACTTGAAATGTACAAGAGTATATTGGGTTTATGCGAGCTGAAAAATGTAACAGGCAGAAGGAGGCGTGGCAGACCCCACAAAGTATATATATTCTTGATCAGCATGACAAGACGAGTCGATCTAGCCCTGTCTGTCTGTCCGTATGAACACCTGGATCTCAGAAACTACTATAAGAGCTAGAGACACCAAATGTTGCACAAAGATGCCTTATGCGTGTACGCTATACGGGTTTGTTTTATTTTTTTGATTTTCCCCCACTTCCCCCCTATGGGGGTTTTCCCGATTTTCCATTCGTATAATCGCCTATATCTCGCTATACATAAATATATTTGCTTCCCAAGCGCTGCCCGCAGCTGTTGTTGATGCTGGTGCTTTGGTTGACTGCAAATATGTTCACATAGACAGAATTGTTATGTAAATGTGCAATTATACAATTGAGTTCGAATACCGAGAGAAGTAAAATTGACCAACAATTTTTATACCCTGTACCCGTAGGGTAAAAAGGGTATATTAGGTTTGTGCAAAGTATGTAACATACAGAAGGAAGCATCTCCGACCCCATAAAGTATATATATTCTTGATCAGCATGACGAGAGAAATCGATCTAGACATGTCCGTCCGTCTGTCTAAGGACGAGTTTATTTTATTTTTTTTAATTTTCCCCCCCTTCCCCCGCTACAGAATTTCGTCAATAGCGTCCACATTTCAAATGCTACCTAAACCAAACTTTGCACACATAATTTATATATAATTGTCTATTGTTGTTTAAAATTTTATTTGGTCAATTCTAAGAAAAGTTATTAGCAAAACAAATACAACCCCCACAAACTGCAGCAACAAGTTCGCTCTTCTTCTTCCTCTTTTTGCTGCTGCTATGGGCGCATATAACTCAGTGACGCAAGTTTACCTGGGTACAGGGTATTACACTGTCGGGCTTGCTCGACTGTAGCGTTCTCTCTTGTTTTAATTCTCTTAATTTCTATAATTATTCTAAACATATGTACAGCGTATTTCAAAGTCGGGACACCCGAATCTAGCTTTTTTACTTGTTTTACTTGTGGCGTGATTCGAACCGGGGTCTATACACTCAGAAACGAACTCACATTGGGATACCTGGTAGCCACTTGAGCTATGCCACTCCCCGACGTATAGTATACTTGTAGATATAAAAACTGTTGTCAAGTGTGAATTATCTACATATGAATTTAACCATTTAGCGATTGTTTAGTTAATAAATAAAGTGATTACTATAAATTACAGTGACAAGTAATTTTCTCACCTGGCGTTTGCTGTGTTCCACGAGCCGCCCAATTTCAGGGGTTGCTGGCGACCGCGTTCGAAATATCACAACACATAAATCCAATTGAGAACGTTGGGACTTCTCCGAGTTACGTTGGCCTTCCTGAAAAAGTGTGAATTCCGCCTCGGTCGGTTCAAGTACAGTGAGCAGTACGCAAGATATGGAGCATAAAGGTTGCAAGGTCCCCTTGTAATAGAAAGTAGATTTTCAGAAAACGTATTGTTTTGTGCATACGGTCTGGGTACTGACCTGCAAACGCACCTCGTTCCAGCCGGAGCGCACTTTGCATATGTCAATACAGTCAAAGTAGCTGAGCACGTCCTCGAACGATATCCAGAAGACGCCCTCGGAGGCTCCGTGTGGCATAAGTACATCACGCAGCTCATCAGTCCAAAGTGTCGAATCGTCGGACCAATCGCCACGCCATGAGTAGTGGCCCCATGGGTTGCGGAGCTTCAACAACCGATGCCCCTGTATGTCCTTCACATCCAGCACCGAGTATGCGTGACGCGGGCGCAATCCCTTGTGTTGGTACTCCTCCTCGTCCACTTTCATGTTGCCGCCCCCGCAGCTTGCTCCCATTAAAAAACGCACGCAACGTGAGCTCAGCAGCTGTGCCCAAATGAGATCCTTGTCCAGCTCATCCTCACTGGGCATGGGCAGTGAACTGGCTTGAAGTGGTATACTTTCACAGGGCGCACCCGTCAGTGTGGCCAGGCCTTCAATAGCGCGCCCTGATACCAGAGCCTCATAGCAGCCATGAATCTTGGCCACGGCTTTCTCGATCAGCGGGACCCACAACTGTTTCCGCTTGGCCTGAGAGTATACCAGATGACCACGCTTGTCGCAGGGCAGTAGATCATCTACCAGCACTGTCGTCCACTTTCCATCCTTACAGAGGCGTACCTGGTAGGCACCCTGTGTGCATATCTCCTTAGTTACAAGCACCTCTTTAACTAAATCTTCACGCTCAGCAAGCACGGCCAGCGCGCTCAGTAACCAGCAATTCCCTAGCACACCCTGACAAATATCTGAGGGCAGCGGTGTGCGAAAGACCGCCCACGGAGGATAAGCGCCACCATCGCAGTTAATCTCATGAGGACGGCGCCACTGCACCACCGGATTTCCGTCGGCGGCGCTGCTGCCCGGATTGTAGTAGAGGCTCTTCGGCGCTGGCGGAAACGAGTCGTCGACGAAGAGTTCATTGGTGTCCCGACAGTATTGGATAATGTATTCCCACTTCGTGCGAGCTTCTGTCTCCTCGATTTGTCGCAGGTTTTCCATCAGCTTGCTCTCCTGCTTTATGTCGGTAAGCGCCATACGAATAGACTTGCATGTCATCGGGTCCGTCATTACTGTGTTAATTAGACCGCGTGGGCTAGAACATATGTCGCAAACAACACACGCAGCACAGTTTTCGTAGGTGCAGGCGGGGCATTGCCATTTTCTAAGCAGCCCACCATCACTATTACCAGGAGTGCCAGACTGCCGTATGTTATATGAGGAGGCAGGCTGAGCCATGCCAACACCAGCTATAGATGTGTTGCGTGGCACTATTGAGCCACCGGTGCTATGACGCTTGGGTATTGCGCCTGATGAGCTGCGGGGCTGTCCAGAGCTTGGAGCTCCACGTGGCGATGGACTGCGTGAGGTGCGCTGAATTGGAGCAGGTGGCAGCTGCAACTGTTGCGCGGTCTTCAGCATCTGCATTGTAGGCGTTTTGGCCTCAGCGACCGGTAGCAGCGCTGCCGTCGTTTTATCCGCGATACCATGTTGAGGCAGACGTAGTTGGTCCTCATACGATTGACCATCTGGACGCTCGCGCACCGAGTCTACGGGTAGTAGACGAATCGCTTTACAGGCGCTGCACATGCCCGTGGACAGCGAGTTCTTAAGTGTGCAGTGGCTGCAGGTCCAAAATTCACCCTTCCGCAGCGTCATATCTTCTATGGAAGATATGCTCTTTAATTTGGAGCCACCACAGACAATACATGCCATGGCTGTTGAGTAATTAACCAGCGTGCATTTCTTGCACGTCCAGGGCTCGTCGGTGCGTTTCTCTGCGGACAGTGAAAATAATTGGAATTATATGGCTTGTGTATAAACAAGATAGAACGCTACAGTCGAGCAAGCCCGACAGTAAAATGCCCTGTACTCCCCACAAAAAAAAAAAAAACAAGATAGAACGCTACAGTCGAGCAAGCCCGACAGTAAAATAGCCTGTACTCTCCACAAAAAGGAAAAATTAAAAAAAAAAAAAATTAAAAAAAAATTAAATTATTAAAAAAAAATGAATGAATTAATTAATTAAAATAATTAATTTAATTAAATTAGAATACATGTTTATGTTCAGTTTAAACAGCATACATTTACATCACGTACCTATGCGTGTTCATATGCGTGTATGTATGCAGCACAAAGTTGAACAGAAGCAGCAACAACAACAACAGCTGCGGGCAGCGCTGCCGACAGAGCTGCAGGCAGCGCATGAGCAGCGATTTTACTTATGGCTATAACTTTCTTCAGAATTGTCCTATCATGATGAAATTTGGCACACGGACACATTAGTACTAACTGGATGTACCTACCAAAATTGATTTTTAAATTCCGAGAATTACGGAAGTTATAAGAATAGGCGTGGCAGACCCCACTAAGTATATATATTCTTGATCAGCATGACGAGTCGATGTAGCCCTGTCTGTCTGTCCGTATGAACACCTGGATCTCAGAAACCATAAGAGCTAGAGACACCAAATGTTGCACAAAGATGCCTTCTGCGTGTACGCTATACGAGTTTGTTTTATTTTTGATTTTCGCCCCACTTCCCCCTCATGGAGATTTTTCCGGATTCTCCATTCGTATAATCTCAGAGACTATAAGACCTAAGAACACCAAATTTTATTCCACGATGCCTTATGTGAATACGCAGAAACAAGAATAAATATATTTGCTGCCCAAGCGCTGCCCGCAGATCTTGTTGATGCTGGTGCTTCCTACACTCACACAGACGCAATTGCTTCCTATATGTGTAATTATACACGCTTTACGTGAGTTCGAATACCCAGAAAGGTAAAATCAATCATTTTTATACCCTGTACCCAAAGGGTACAAGGGTATATTAGTTTTGTGCGAGTGCACATGGAACACACAGAAGGAGGCTTGGTAGACCCCACAAATATATATATATATTCTCGATCAGCATGACAAGCCGAGTCGATATAGCCATGTCCGCCTGTCCATCTGTCTGTCCATCTGTCTGTCCGTCTGTCTGTCTGTATGAACGCAAGGATCTCCGAAAGTATAAGAGCTAGAATAACCAAACTTGGTATACAGATTCTCCTGAGACCAAGAAAGGACGAGTTTGTTCATTTTTTCTGATCCAACCCCCCACTCCCCCCCTATTAACGATTTTATATAACTCCCGTAATTCTTGGAATTTTGAACTAAAATTTGGTAGTCACATTAGGTTAGTTATTATATAACCGTATACCAAGTCTCATTATGATAGAATGATCGGAAAGAAAGTTATAGCCATATAACCAGGCCCAATGCACACATACATACATATGCACAAGTACACAAACACGCATAAGGCACGATTCTGATGTAAATGTAAATCTATGTATGCATGCATGGAATATTTTATATTTAATTTAGTTAATTAATTAAATTAATTTATTTAATTAATTAAATTAATTAATTAAATTACTTTTTTGTGGGGTGGTACAGGGTATTTAAGAGTTGAGCCTGCTCGACTTTAGCATTCCTTTCTTGTTTTTTTTAATTTTTTTAATTTCTATAACTATTCTAAGCATGTGTACAGAGTATTTCAGAGTATTTCACCCGACTTTAACTTTTTTTGTTTTATTAATTAATTAAATTAAATATAAAATACTCAACACATGCATACATACAAAGGTGTTTATGTACAATTTCAATAGAATAAATTTACATCAGAATCGTGTCTGCGTGTTTATATGCGTGAATGTATGCAGCACAAAGTTGAACCAAAGCAGCAACAAGAACAGCTGCGGGCAGAGCTGCAGGCAGCGATTTTATTTATGGCTATAAATTTCTTCAGAATTGACCAGTCATGATGAAACTACGGACTCATAATCACCCATTGGAGGTATTACCCAAATTTGAGTACAAAATTCCAAAAAACACGAATTGCAGGGGAGTGGGGGGTGCATCGAAAAAAACTTAAGCTCGTTTTTTCTGGGTCTTAGGATACTCAGAATGTTTTAGCTTTTATACTTTCTGAGATCCTTGCGCTCATACAGACGGACGGACAGACGGAGATGGCTATATCGACTTGTCATGTTGATCAAGAATATATATACTTTGTGGGGTCTGCCACGCCTCCTTCTGTCTGTTACATACATTCGCGCAAAACTAGTATACCCTTTCACCCTTTGGGTACAGGGTATAAAAATAAAATAAGAAATAATATGTGTACATATGTACACAAAGCCAAACCAATTTCTTTTTGGGACTTACCCACGATGGCAGCATTGAAAAGAGCTTGCTCCGGATTTGGCAAGGCATTATCTGGTACATTGTGGCTCTGACTAGAGCTGGCACCACTTGCGGTGGCGGTGGCAGAAACGGAGCCGACTGGCAGTGAAGGTGAACTGCGCAACGTATAGCAGATTTCACAACAATCGACCCGCATACGATTGTAGGCATAGGAACATTTGATGCACGTCCACATCTTTCGACTATTAGGCGAAGGTTTATTGTCAAAGCAGCGTGTGGGCAACACCTGCGCCGAAGACGATGACAAACACGAGGAGGAAGCGGCTGTTGATGCTGAAGTTACGATCAGGCGGTTGCTTGGCTCATTTGTGCTTAAAGGGTACAAGAAAAAGAAAAAAACAAATATAAATGTGAGAAGTGAAAACGGAAAGTATGCGTGAGACGTTCAAAATGTAGTGTAAATTATAAGATAACTTAAATGTAAGGAAGCACGTACTAATTGCGTTATTAAAACTAAAATAAAATCAAAAGAATTTGTTATCGGCTTATGTATTTTAATTTAATTTAATCAATTTGGTTAACATACAAAATAGAAAATCAAATTAAATAAATTTAGCAAAAAACCAATCAGCTGACCAATGCGTTGAGGCTACTCAGTAGATTAACAAAATACACCATATACAGTTGAGTGCTTAAAAGCGTGTATGCCTTTTCAAATTTGAAAATGAATATCTCTTAAGCGATTACCACTGTACACAAAATTAGCAATAAAGCTAAGCAAATAAGGCACCCATGATGATATAAATTGGCATTCGTACATTTTCGATTCAGTTGATTTACGCGGTCCCTTCCACACTTTGGCGTAGATGGAATGTTCTGAGGCATTAAGTTCCGTTAAGGCAGGCGTCGCAGATGATTCTGTGCTTTTAGGTGGTAACCCCAAATCAATTTCGCTACCGATTGAATCACTTAAGCCACGGCTAAGGGCTTCACTGCTCTCCATACTGTCTGCAATATTTTTGATCGCTCCAGCTGACTCGCTGTTATCGGTTATGTCGATAGCCACACAATGCAGGTTATTATTGTTCGCGTTGTTATCGCATTTCTTAGCATCAAGTTTCTTTTTGATCTTGTACTGTTTGTTGACCTGCGAATAAATCGGTGGCTGTTGTTCCAAAGTGGTCGATGCGACTGCGGAGATGGCTGTAGCACTGGTGGCAGCAGCCGCTTTCATCTGCTGTGCAATAGCCACACATTCATTCTCATACAGCTGCTGATTAATTTTGCTGCTACAATTGTTGTTATTGTTCACTTGTGCAGTCGTATCACAATGCGTTACTTTGCTTTTATTACTGACGGTTGCTGCTATGCGCGTTGGCTCCGCCCACTCATTAACCGCAATAAATACGCCATTACGTGGTATGGTAAATTGCGTGGTCCGTCCTATCTCTTTTACTACGTCCAAAGCCTCGGAATTGCTCTTTAAATCTGCAGGTGCGCCTACGCCACCTCCCTGTACGTTTTGTCTTACAGTGGTCTTTGTTGCTTGCTGTGTTGTAGATGGGAATATGATGCCTGCCTCGGTGGTTTCAACTCCAGCACTTAAAGCAGAAGCTCCACCGCTTGATTCATTAGTTACACACAGGGCTACTTTTGCCGAGCGTGATAACGTTGTAATAGTAAAGTTGTATTTCTTTTTGGTGCAGCCCTCGCGGTTTTTATTATTTTGATTCTTGTTGTTATTATTCTGCTTGCGTCGACAGAAAGTGTCATTGGCAATGGCAAATCGTGAATTGCTGCAAACGGCGGTAGGCAACTTAGGGCCTAAGATAGAGAAATTCATTTGTTAGAATAGCGAAGATATGAGGAATACAGCTTCAGTTTCTGCGTATTTTATTACTTACCAAATTCGATATCAGCCTTTGCCGTTACTACTTTTGTTTTTTCTTCGTTTTCATTGCGATTGTAGCTGTGCATAAAGCCAACGCTTGCGTCTACAGCATGTGGCAGATTGAATATATCCTTGCTCTGATTGTTTACGTAACAAATGTGACAACTACGCCCTGTCTGTGACGTCTTGTCTATTGATGTGGTTAGACTTTGAGTGCGTCGATAGAATGAGTATTTGCGACTTCTCCCATTCCGTTTATTATTGCGCTCATAGGAATGTTGATGCTCATCGGGATGGTAAGGAAGGTGATGAAATTGCTGCTGTTGAAGCAGTTGCTGTTTTTGCTTTTGATCGCTGTTGAAGTCTTGCGTGGCGGCTTGTTGCTCGTGTCCTATGTCAGTGTTATCATTGTGCAGCTGCCTGCGCGTGCACAACGCCTCTTTGTAGATGGGCGCTAAGTAGCTAACTGTGTCGCAAATCACACAATGCCATGTCACTGAGTTGTTGTCCGTATCACACTCGTGGCAAATCCAACGGCGATTAAGTGCTGGATTCGAGAAATGCCGATACAGCTCAATGGAATTCTTTATGTATTTGCGCGTCTCTTCGCAGTCGACACAATTAGCAGGTAAATTCTGGCTATTACGCTGAGGCCGTTTTAAACAACCTCGTAGAAGAGACTTATACACGTGTTTGTATTCATTTCTGTAACATAGAACATACAAAATTGGTATATCAAAAAAGCAAGGAACCTCAAGCAAAGATTTTAAGGATAATACATACATACTTAATGGCTGGCCTGACACTATTAAACCATTTTGGTCAGAAACTTTTTTCACTCACCACCCTGGTGGATTATTGCATTCTTTGAATTCATACACAAATACTATATGTACGATAATTTGTTATCTACCACAAATTTGTGAATGGCGAGATGGAATAGCGTCCTCTGGGCAGCACACAAACACAAATATATCAATTCAATTGTAAACAATGTTTCGCTGTTCACATCGATTTTCCCCAACTTTTTTTCAGTGTTTTGTTGTTATTGCGACATATGTATGAATATAAGCATGTGCATATGTACAAATATATGCATATGAGTCGCTGCTATTTCTATATATATATATATATATATATATATATATATATATATATATATATATATATATATTATATATATATATATATATATATATATATAATATATATATATCTTACCTTGCCACAACTTTGCTCTTATCGGCTAATATTCCTAATATCTGAGTCTCATTGCCACCGCCGCTCACATCAAATCCGACAGATGTTGTCGGCGTTACTTCAGCTTCCACAACTAGGTGTTCATTTTGTTGATGTATCCAATTCGTGCTGTTGACACTTTCATTTTGCCAGTTCTGTTGGCTGCGTAGTGTTGTGGTAGGACTTGGAAACACCTTGCGCACCGTGCCGCAGTTGTAGCATTTCAATGATTCTGTTGGATTAATGGTATTACATTTATCGCAGGACCACTGTAACACCGATGATATTGTGCCCATTGCTTCAGTTAATTCAACGAAACTCGCATTAGCATTCGCGACCGATCACAATCGCATAAAAGGTAGGGGTGAAGTGGGTCTGGTCGAACGCCGAGGCAAAAAGCATTATCTATGCGACGCACTGCATTTATTCTTTCCACTACTGCAGCAACACACATATTTCACAAAAGTTCGCTAGACTATTATAATTATATGGTAAATTTAGTAAAAATATGCTCATTTGCATGTATGTGTCGCTGTTATTTGCAGAAAGAAAAAAGAGCATATGTACATATATAAAATCAAGTACAGTGGTGATAGAAACGCATCAATTCTATCGATATTTTACAGGAATTTTATCGATGTACTTTGCACTTGAATTTAAAACTGATCGGTTACTATCGTTTTTTTTTGCGCTTAAAAGCAAAGCTAACAGGCGATAGCTTTTAATTTCCATTAGAAAATAAATTTAAATAAGTAAAGGATTATATTAGTGTTCGAAATAAACAATACACGGTACGAGCTCGGTAATCGCAATTAAAGGAAAACAGACTTTTTGCACTTATTGAAGTTGTTCCACATAGCGAGGAAAAAATTAAATCTTAAGAAACGCGATTAACTAAATTTTTTGAACATATCTGTAATATATGCCCAGTACTTTCGTTCTATGAAGGCTTTTAAAAAGAGCAGTCTACTGAATGAGAGTTTCGAATGACTGTATACAACTGATTCTTTTATATGAACTACTTTGCTATCATCTGAACTTTTAATTTCTCCTCTTTGTTAAATTATTAGTCTTATCAATTCTTTTTTACAATCGCCATCGCTATAAGATATGTATAAAAGTATACATACTTACATATATGTATGTATGTACATAAAACACTACCGCTGTGTCCCAAAATAAACTGATAACAAAAGACATTGGGCGCGTTCAGCAGGTCATAGTGATTTGTGATTGCCGTGTTTTGATTTGTCTCTGCTGACCGCTTGTGATAACTATTTGATAAAAATCTTGTGATTTTAATTTGATAAAAATCCAAAATTCACGACATTAATTTCTACGGGCAACATTTTCGTTTTTATTTGACATACAAGTATATTCACACAGCTATCAGTGAAAAAGCAACCGCAATCCACTAATCATACAATTTTCCTGATTGTTTTTATGGCCTGTACCCGTAGGGTATATTAGGTTTGTGCAAAGTATAGAAGGAGGCATTTCCGACCCCATAACGTACACATAGACTAGTCAAATTAGGGTTTCACCTCGGAATCTGAGATAATAAGCTGAAATTTAGTATACCTTTATTTTGGCGTTCTATATGTTGTTTCAAAAGTCTTATAAAATATCGTGTCCGCGCCTTAAGATATTCAAGTTCACGAAAATCGGGTTTTCTCGTATATTTCGCTCCCTATGACTTTGATGAGATTTGCACCTAAGTTGTAAATAAACTGAAGAATTTCAACAAGAAAAATGCCCCGAACAAACATTATTTGAAAATGGAGTGCGCATCTTGTTGGCATTATATAATGCTCCAAAGTCTGAGGCCAATATTGATTATTTCCGTTACACACAATTCGTCAAGGTAACAAAACTAAATAAACCTGTATAATTATCGACACTTGCACCAACAAGTGCAGCCGTTCATCAACATATAAATCGTGTCTAGTACCAGATTCAAACGTGGTTAGGGAACGATTTAGAACCTCAAGAATGGGGCTGGATGCTACAAAATGAAATCCTGGAACCTATAAGAACATTATTACCCCCAGCACCAGCTGAACTGCTCAACGTTATGGTTTGCAACTGCAAAAATGGTTGTGGTTCGCGCTGCGGATGAAGGAAATCGGTATTACAATGTTCTTTAGCCTGTAACCAGTGCAATGGACACACTTGCCTTAACGCTTCATCATGATCCCGAAATTCCGGACGGCTTGGAAACGTACATCACCGATAACGAGGATGGTGATAATGACTTAAGCATTTTCGAGCGACCGCAACAAGAAGACGATGAAGAAGAAGACGATGACTGAATGCTACATTTGCCATTTAAAAATGTACAAAAATTGATTAATGCTAATAGTATATTATATATGTATACTAATATATTATATATATTAAGTTACTTATTAATTAAATATAAATAATATGACATAAATAATAGCCATTTACTAATAATATTTTTTTTTAGTAAAAAATGAATCTTATACAACATACGATTATCCGTAACTCATGCTTGACCTTGCATTGGGCAGTATATGATTGTGCGCTGCGCATTCTTTGCGCTTTATCTCAAAAACGGTTAATCGTATGAAAAAATGGTTTATGCAAAAGTTTTAGAGAATTTTGCAATCTACAAGTTTGTAATAGGTACAAATCTTATCAAAGTCATAGGGAGCGAGCTATACGAGAATTTCGTGACCTTGAATATCTTAAGACGGGGACACGATATTATAAGAGACTTTTGAGACAACATATAGAACGCCAAAACAAAGGTGTATACCAATTTTCAGCTTATTATCTCAAATTCCGAGGTTGACCCCTTTTTATACCCTGTACCCGTAGGGTAAAAAGGGTATATTAGGTTTGTGCAAAGTATGTAACATGCAGAAGGAAGCATCTCCGACCCCATAAAGTCAGGTTCTGAATCAGCATGACGAGAGAAATCGATCTAGATATGTCCGTCCGTCTGTCCGTCTGGATGAACGCAAGGATCTCAGAAACTATCAAAGCTAGAATAACCAAAGTTGGCATCCAGTTTATTTTATTTTTTTTTAATTTTCCTCCCCTTCCCCCGCTACAGAATTTCGTCAATAGCGTCCACATTTCAAATGCTATCTAAACCAAACTTTGCACACATAATTTATATATAATTGTCTACTGTTGTTCAATTCGGTAAATTCTAAGAAAAGTTATTAGCAAAACAAATTCTCGCCAGTACAAACCCCACAAACTGCAGCAACAAGTTCGCTCTTCTTCCTCTTTTTGCTGCTGCTATGGGCGCATATAACTCAGTGGCGGAAGTTTACCTGAAACATTTGAAAGTAGTCTTTTCTCTACGCTTCGTATACAAAACACCAAAAGCGCACATTAGCACATTTTCTACAGAGGATCTAATCAAAAAGCGGAGGTGTTGGGAAAGATGTGACATCGGAAAGGTTAAAAAGCAAAACGATTCAGTGGCGCGAAATGCAAGCCGGAAACGCTAGTAAAGAATAATTACATATGTGTAAAATCATTGAATGCCTCTAGCTGACCCATCATTGTACAAAATCAAGAATAAAGATTAGAAAAATAAACATTTGCGCGATAAAAAATGGGAAAATTTACTCATTTTGTAGCTATAAGCATATTTAAATTGTCATTGAGACAAAAACCGTGCTTTCCTCCACATTCATTTCAACGTGCTCATTTGCCAAATTTTTTCCAAATGATGTTCTCGAGCAATGTTTGCCTTGAAAACTTAATTTTTGAAAACAGCGGTACATCGAACTTGAATCGATTTTTTTAAAGAGACATCGATGAACATCGATATCAATGTTTTCCCTTCGACTGAGAATCCTAGCGCTTAGTTCACTAAATATAAATCTGGCAGCGTTGGCATTGATAAATTCTCTTACCAGCTGCTCCAAACAGCTGAGTTTTTCTTTGTTTTGTGGAACCATCGAGACGAATGATATATGTATATGCATATGTATGTATAAATACATGTGTGTCAACACAAAAAAGAAACAAAGCAAGCGTCGATTCAAATTGAAATAGTTCATTCATTTCTCGCATTACTCAGAATAAAAATTGGTCGTCGCGTCAGTCAGCTCGAATATGCTTTAAATTGCAAAACGTCGTAGCTTTAAATAAGGAAGCTCTAGTGTGTTTCTGATGCTTAATTAAGAGCAGGCTAAGTGAGAAATCATTTGAATTAATGCAGGTTGCATCTGGTAAGTTGTATTTCGCTCCATTTGGAAGTCACAAAATATGTGCGTATTTACCTAAATATTATTCTGCAGAAGTGTATATGTATGTATATACATGCGTACATTTATTTCATACATTCATTATTATAAGTATCCAAGGCAGCTCATCCCCCACAACCCGTCTGCACCAACACCCATTACCGTCCTTGGTTGCATTTTACAATTCATTTGGGCACACACACACTTGTCGCTAAAACAGCCACTACTGCGCAATATACATAAATATTTTTTCAGCTCAGTTTCCATCCGCTGTTTTTGTTAATGTTTGGTATGTAATAGTTGTGTTGGTGTACGAAAGATGGCAAGAAAGGAAATTGTGCAATTTGTTCTGCTTTTTTGTGTTAATTTTGGAATCTGTGTCAGGTGGCTGCCAAATTGCACAATACTGTTCAGGCCTGAATACATGCATTTTTATAGGTTCTGTTCGGTGTTGCGTTTATATTCTGTAGTCAGCAAGACGTTTGTGTAATGCAACGTACGAATCTATATACATACATACATACATATGTACAAACATTTGAATAATAACTGCAAATGTACATATATACATACATACATATGTAATTACGCATTTGTTTTTGTTCCAGTCTTACAGACAATTGCTAAGAGTCGTGCTTCAAAAACTTGTACTGCATTTCGTTGAAATTATTTGATTAATTTTTCGAATTGTGCAAACTCTTGAGATTTTGCGACTTCGAAAACATTGAACAATTCAACAAACAGAAGATTCGACATTACATTTCGCAAAACTAGTTGGGCTTCATACAATACACAGCAGCAGCCGTTAGAAATACAAGAACAAAGCAAAGAGCGAAAAAAGCTGACTTTCCACTGAAAAAGCGACACGCCATTGTGCATAAGTGTAATAAGTGCATTGGAAAAACCAGCGCTTCGTATAAAAGAGCTAACAAAATTCAATGTAAGGATTAGTTCAAGGCAGAAAAAATAAACAGAAACAGCATTATGGACTCTAAGGGTAAACAAAACACCAACAGTCAAGACACTGCCAATTCTGAAAATGGTATTGTGCAGAGCTCGCAGCCGAAACCTGTGCCTCATGTGCAGATGGATGCTGAGCGACTGCGCACGGACAGTGAAAGCTCCACAGACAGCCTGACGCGTTTTGTATTGCCCAGTTTGGATGGCAGCCCACCTAAAATTGTTACTATGGAAGAGGTATCGACCATGTTTAAAAATCTGAAAAACATGGAGCTCGCGCATGAAATAGCTCTCAATCCTGATTTTAAACTGCAGCAGTACGAACCGCCATTAGATAGGTGAGTAGGGGAATTAATTGTGTTTGCCAAGAGCAACTAACAGTCCGCTCGTTGTAGTCTTGAGGGTCGCATTAAAGCAACGGTACATAAGGCCTTCTGGGATCTGCTGCGCCAGCAGTTGAATCGTACGCCACCCTCTTATGATCAGGCTATACGCTTGCTAACCGAGATCAAGGAGTACTTTCCTGAGATTTTGGCACCTAACAACTCTCGTGCGATTGCACACATTAACAGCGTATTAGATGAAACCCTTATACGCCAACAGGCAGAACGTGGGGTACTAGACTTCAAGGTCTATGCCAATTTTGTGATCAACATTCTATCGCGCATGTGCTCGCCAGCGCGTGATGAGGCGATCGCAAAGCTGCGAGAAATGGATGATGTTGTCGACACATTCCAGGGCATACTTGAGACCATGACTCTAATGAAGCTCGACATGGCGAACTTTTTGCTGGCAGTAGCGCGCAACGACATCGCGGCGAACTCCGTGGAGTACGAAAAGCAAAAGTTCACAAACTATTTGCGCGAGTTTCATGGAAATGGTGCGACAGCAACTCATTTCAAATAATTGCTTGCATTTTAACCGACTTTTGTTTTCCTGTATTGGTATCTGCACAGTTGGCTTTCCAGCCACGGAGGATTGGTTGCAACGAAATCGCACAACGGCCAATAACAACGATGATACAATTTACAATGCCTACATGGAACTTATAGATTGGGAAGCGGGCACGGAATTTCCTGAAGTGCTTAACATTGATAAGGAACGTTTTACGGGTTTGGGCTGGCGTGCTAAACGACTCATACTGTGTGCATCGCTAATTTCTATTGCGTCGAGTGCTCCAGTCCTCTCGCAACGTCGTGAAAATCGCGTCAAGCTGGCACAGCAACTGGACATTATTTTACAAGATGTGAAACAGGAGGAGTATGTATTTATTCCTGTGGTCCCGTGATTTACTAAACTTAGAGTGTTTCTGTGTTTTCGCAGCCAAATGGGAACTGCTATTAAGAGCTGCTACGAACAAATTCGCTCGTTCGTCCAGGATGCTCTGGCTAAGGAGCAGCTTCCTGCCTTAAATGAGGCACTTACAGCGCAACTGAAAGCTCAAGTATTGCAGTTAGCCAACAAGAATTCACCAGTTCGCAGTCTTATGGGTAAGCTAAACAAGCAAATAAATTTAAAACCACTAATTTCGCTAGTATTACACTTTCAACAGCCAAGCGTTTGGATGAGGTTGTGCGCGTTGCATTGCGCTCTAATGGCAGCATTCCTCCACCACCTTCTGGTTTCGTTGACTACCAGGAGGAATTGGTTGCGTTTATAGCTTCATTTCGGCGACTAGTCTCTTACAACCACGCAGTATTTGGAGAATATTTCATGGAGCGGTTGAACAAGCAAAATAAGTTGCAGGCTGACGAGGGAGCAAAAACTGGTGCCGATGACAGTGGTTTGGGCTTGGATACCAGTACTTCTGACACTGGAACTGTCAAACCATAAGACGCACATGTTAACATATATGTGTGTTAACAATATCACTTCCTGACACACACACACACACACCCACACAGAAAAACAACAACAGAGACCATAGTCAATTTTGATTGAATGGATGAGGGCTGTTGAAGCAGAAGTTGTTGGCCAGTGTTCGTTCAGAAAGCGATGCATACGCTTGGTCGATTTGGATATTAGATAGAGCGGCTCGGACACAAGGAACAAAATAGAACAGCAACGGAGAATATATCGTGACTTGGCCAATGGTGACGCCAGCTATATATAACTGATTTTCCTTTATATGTTATGTTTATACAGAAATTAATGCTAAATCAACAATTGCCAAGCTTGATTCATGGTCATGATGATATACATAGACAATAAAATACATTCTGGCCGTGAATCAACACGAAATGCAATTTTACAATATAATTTGGTTGAATTATTCATATTGATCTCAAGTTCTTACCTTGTGTGAAATTCTTTCGTAAGAGCTTAAGACGCACAGGCATTAAATTAGGTGCAACAGAAAATTGTCATACCATTAGAACGAACAGAGTCTGTTATGTGAGATATTGTAGTTACGCTTCTAAGAAACATCCATCTTTTACAGGTCTGAGACCTGGCAAATGGAAGAGAGGTATATAGAGTTGAAAAGTTACCAGATAATTCATGTCCACTAAATAGGTGTGCAGAAGTAGCTAACAAATTAAAAATAGGGAATAACAGTACTTGGAGATCGGCGCATGTGCGTGATAAAATGAGATATGACTTAACTAAAAACTATACCGCAATATGTATTTAAAATAACTATGATTCTTTATCAGGTTCCCCTAAGCCCTAGGCAGATCAAGTTTGTTAATTTTTTCTGGTGCCCCCCACTCCCCCGCTATTCACGATTTTCAATAACTCCCGTAGTTCTTGGAGTTTCAAATCTGGTAATTATATCTGTTAGTGATTATGTGTCCGTATGACAAGTTTCATCATGATACTTGTAGGTCAATTTGGAAGGAAATTATAGCGATAGATTTAATCTTTGCCCAAACTGTGTCCGCAGCTGTTGTTGCTACTTTGACTTATTTATGTACTGCAAACATACACGTATAGACACGATTCTGATGCAAATGTATGATGTTGAAACTGTACATAAGCATATGCCTCCATTTATTTATGTATGTATTAAATATTTGTGCTCTGTACATGAAATGTACAATATTAGGTTTGCGGGAGGTGAAAAATTTAACAGGCCGAAGGAGTTTGTTGTATTTTTTTGATTTCTCCCTATGGGAGATTTTCCGTATTGATTAATTCATTAAATCAAATATAAAGTGTGTTTATGTACAATTTCAAAATTATACATTTACATCAGAATCGTGTCTATGCGTGTTTGTGTACTTGTAAATACATATGTATGTACATATGTACCAGAGAACTGCAACGAGTACTACATTTTCGGCCATACTCGAGTATTTACCCATACTCGGTATGATTATTTAATTTGGCTATAGTGACAAGCAATGATTGGTTTTAAACGAACGCTCACCAACCAGTCAGTTCGACTCGCAACTACAAGGACTCAGAATGACCGGCGGTGACCGAAACTTTTTGCCTGCGTGCAAGAAATGACGTCGTACTTACAATCATACCCGCATGACCGAAATGACCAATGATATCGGCGGGGGCACGTGCACTTGCATTTTCTATTGTTTTTTCGGCTATTATTTAAATAGTAACATCGTATACAAGTATGTAAATGCATATAAATTAAAGAAGTCAACAAAACTATTAGCGAAAAGTATTGCGCGAAATCGAGCCAGCAACGATTCTGAAGCTGCTGACTTGTTTGCCAACTTCTTCCAATCAATTTATTCCTCTGTCTCTATTAGTAATACCTCTTATCCTTATAGAATTTCATCTTCCCACACTATTTACGCTCTCATAATTTCTGATAGCTGTCTACTCTCTGCTATGAAATCCTTAAAATCTTCATACTCTCCTGGATCAGACAACATTCCTAGTTGTGTTCTCAAGGAGTGTTCTAGTTCCCTTTTACGACCATTACTTAAACTTTTTAATCTGTAACTTGGTTCCTCAATCTTTCCAACTATTTGGAGAGAATCTTTTATTACTCCTCTTTATAAAAAGGGTGGTAAGTCTGTATTTCAAACTACAGAGGAATTGCAAAGTTGTCTGCCATACCAAAATTATTTGAAAAAATAGTTTGCAGCATTTTGCAGCACCTCTGTAAATCTGTCATATCTCCAGCTCAACATGGATTCATGAAGAGACGGTCTACTACGACCAATTTGCTGGAATTTACTTCCTTGGTAAATGAAGTATTTATTCTAAAAATGCAGACTGATGTCGTTTACACTGACTTCAGTAAAGCATTTGACTCTGCGAACCATGATCTTCTGCTCTTTAAGCTAAGTCGTATACTCATTTTCATCGCCTGCAGGATGATCTGAACTGCATGCAATCGTGGTGCTTAGCTAACCACTTGTACCTCAATTGCGCTAAGTGTAAGTTCATGACATTTCACCGAACTTTGCCCCATTTAGTCACGTATACGATTGACAATGTGCGCTTGTAAATTGATTCCAAATTGAACTTCAACCTTCACATATCTTGTATTGTCAATAAGGCTAAGGGATTACTTGGATTCATTAAACGTTGGTCCAAGGAATTCAATGACCCATATACCACTAAGCTTCTTTACACTGCACTAGTACGCCATGTGCTTGAATACTGCTCATGCGTTTCGTGTCCGCAGTATAGAAAGCAACAGGAACGTATTGAGTCTGTTCAGAAGCAATTCCTTCTTTTTGCTCTTCGTGGTTTAAGCTGGGATCCCAACCTCCGCTTGCCATCGTACTCTAGCAGGCTGATGCTTATAAACCTTCCTTCTTTAGTAAATCGTAGGACTGTTCTTGGAGTAGTTTCTCTCTACAAGTTGATTATCGGCGAGATTGACTCCTCTTCCCTCTTAGGTCGCCTTAATTTTTCCGTTCCTTGTAGACCAACATGAAATTATTTGCCATTCGTCTTGTCTAAGTGCACAACCGATTACGCTGCGCACAATCGTTTTCGAGCCATTTGTTCCAATTATAATGAGCTTTCTCATTTACTTTCAACAGAACTCTCTCTTTATTCTATAAAAGTTCTTCTTTATAGTTATCTCCCTGGAAATCTCTGACCACATACTGCTGTGAGTCGGGGCATAGCTGGCCGGACTGGCTTAAAACTTTCCCCCATCGGGTTGGAGATTTTCCTCTTTCTCCTTTTGTCTTTCTTGTTCCATCTTTCTCTTTCCCTGTTTCTCTCTTCCCCTTTCTCTTCCTTTCTCTCCCTCTTTACCTCTGTCTCTTTCTACTCCTTACTTTTTCTAATTAGCTCCTAAGTAGAATTAATTTTCCTCTTCTACATACTATTTGTTTAGATTGTTAGGTCTATAATGTCTCTGACCACATGTGGCTGTGAATCGGGGCATAGCTGGCCAACTGGCAAATAAAATTCCCCCAACGTGTCGGGGGCATTTATAGACGTTATTGTACAGCTTTTTCGTAGGCTTTCTTATCTTTTAAGTTGAGACTATGTTATATTAATCATATTTGAATTTTGAATTTTAAATCTTAATATATATACAAAATGTTAATACTTATATATTGTTATTGAATAAATCGACAGATCCACTTGTTGATTTAAATAAATAAAAAAAATATAAAATACCCGAGTATAGCTTGCGCAATACCCAAACAATACTCGACCAATAACGACACTATACTCGTTCGATCAATCGCTCATTCTGCAAAGTCTGGTTTGCTTCGATCAGGACCCAGTCATCTTAAACGAAGTGACCCGAGCCTGAACTGTTTGAAAGCAAAGAAAAATGCTGAGAGTACTCAACTCGTTCGAGCTCGTTTGCAGCCAAGCAAATATCTGATTTGATTGAATTTTCAGCAAGGGTGGTCGAACATACTTGTTGCAGTTCTTTGGTATGTACATACATACATATGTATGCAGTACAGAGATTATATTTATGGCTATAACTTTCTTGGTAATTGACATATTATGATGAAACTTGGCATACGGACACATAATCACTAACGGGATTGAATTATAAAAATCGAAATTTCAAGAACTATGGGAGTTGTTGAAAATCGTGAATAGCGGGGGAGTGGGGTGCATCCGAACAAATTAACAAACTGATCTTCCTAGGGCTTAGGGGAACCTGGATACCAAGTTTGGTAAGTCTAGCTCTTGCATCTTTTGAGATCCTTTCGTTCATACAGACGGACATACGGATATGGCTATATCGACTCGACTTGTCATCCTGATCAAGAATATATGTACATATGTATTTACTTTGTGGGGTCTGCCACGCCTCCTTCTCCCTGTTACATACATTCGCACAAAACTAGTATACCCTTTCACCCTTTGGGTAGAAGGTATAAAAATTTCACATGACAGAATTATATGTTATATAATATTGAATAAGTTTTTAATAAATGAAGTTGGTGTTGTTTGAAGATTTTAATCTATTTATTTTTGCTAACATTGTTATCAGTCGTATAACAATAAATAAAAGCAAAATATTATTGCTTTTTTAAATGTGTACTTTTGTTTCTATGTGAACATAACTACCATTTTCGATGTTTACCAGTATCGATGAAACTATCGAATGGTACTAATATCAATAGTTTGCCACCTCTAGATCTTTACCCTCCGACCCATCCATACAGGGCTTGATCTTTATACAAATATCTATTGGCTGACAGAAAAATGAAAAAATTATTTTGAAATAATAATATATATAAAACAATGTAAACAAACCTAGTTAAAATAGTAATAATAATCTTAAGAGCTCAGTTGCTATGTATAGCCTAAACTATAAGCTGCATACCATTTATAATTGTAAGTGGAATAATAATAATTATTTGTTTGTATATAAAATTGATTGTAAAAAATTGTTTAATTTTAAGAAACACTTGGTAGTCGATAAATTATAAACATATGTATATACATTATGCAACACTATAGGATATAAATTCGCGGCGTTGCCACACATCGGATGCGTGTTTAACCGCCGCCGTAAACACGTGTGAAAGTCGGTTTGGTTGATTGCGAAAATGCACATCGATGATGGTAAGTAAGCAAGCTCAAAGCTCCTGGCACGAATGTACATCACAATGTATTTAACACAGGACTTAAGCAATGGCTGGACAACCCCAACAAACCTTTCGACTCAAAGCTGAACTTTGCCATTAAAGTGTGGCAGTCGTTTGATTTCGCCTGCCCCAACAAATATGAAGTCATTATCACATGGCTGACCGAAGCGCTGAGAAATTCGGTCAGCGTTAATCTACCAGTGCTACAGTTGCAGCAGCTGTTTCGGCTGCGTTCACAACCAGGCGCCGTGTCAACGGCCAGCAAAACAGCGCTTATATTAGTATTGCTTCGGGTGACAACTGCTCAGCCATCTACCCGCGCTGCTGGGCCAGAGCTTCTGCGCGACATGCTTAACTTCGAATTACTGCAAGACACGCTGCGGAGCGACTATAAACTGCTCATGCAAAGCTACTCCACGCTTTTCCAGAGTTACGAGCGGTACTTAGTCAGCCATGTACCGGCGTCGGCTGACTCGCTTGAGTCGGAGTTTGCTTTGCCGCTTTTACAGCAACTAAGCGACTACGTGCAGCGCGCCCAGAACCTTGAGCCATTACGCAAATGCTACGATAAGATTGCTCTCCGACCACTAGTGGAACTGTATTTGCAATTGAGAATACGCGGAGTATGCTGCTTCGAACAGATTGCTGCGCTGGAAAAACAACTGACATCCAAAATTCGAAGCCCGAACTCAACACTGATCGATCGTCTGAAGATTCAGGTGCCATATTCGCGATTTCTTGCGTTAGAATGTCTACTATACAATCACCGTTTTGAACCCAAATACGTTCAATTAGTTCTAGAGCGCGTGTTTGACCAGCATCTCGGTGAATCACGACAGGCACCAGAGCTTGTGCTCTCCGAGGCAGCTTATACATTGGAGGCCCTGCGCAAGCACGAGATCTCTTTGCAGTTCGTCATGCAGCCGCTACCTACAACGATGACACCGCAACCTTTATCAGCAACTGAGAAAAAGGAGACGGCACTTGCTTATGTAGAGAGGCAGATCTACCAATACGTGCGCATGCACAAGCATAATCACCTGCTCGGCGTGCTACGGTTGCTATGCTCGGCACTGCGACTCAATCCGCTCCTACTTGAACAACATGTGTACCAGATTGCTGTCTGGATGCTAACCACGCCCAAGTACACTGCGGATGAGCATATCTTGTATGCTGAATTTCTGGTCCACCTATTGGACATGTTTCGGCGCTTGAGCCGCGCCGAACGCTTTGTCATGAATCTGATAAAGACGCTGCGCGAGTGGTTGGCCAAATTCGAGCTGAAGTGCCCATATAGGCGCGACGACGAGGACAATTCCGGTCGAAGCCCCTCAAAGCGCAGATGTCTGGATGACGAAAAGGACCCAAATGAAAATATTTACATGAAACTCCTCTTTGGCTCGTTTAAATCTTCACCTCCGGCCTCGGTATTACCTGATCCTTTCGAACACCTGTCACAGAGATGGCCCACCTCAACAGTTGGTGTGGCCTTTACACATCTGATCACTCAGCTGATGGCAAAGCCTTCAATTGTTATCTGGAAAACGCTGCTACACGCACTTTCCGAGCTGTTAGACGAAAATTGCGCCGTGGTGCTGCCATCTAACCTTGACTTTTCTATGGAACTGCATGCAGCATTGCTCTGTCAATACTTTCAAGGCACACGCGTGGCAGAGCAACTGGAATCGCACCAGGCAGCGGTGGAGGAGCAATTGTTTCACACCGGCAAGGTGCTGCAGAAATTTGGGCGCCACCTTCTGCGACAGGAGCATAACCGGAGAACTATGAACGCTTTTCTCGAGTGCCTTGAACAGGCCAGTAGTTTTGAACATATGTTGCTCTACTATTGGCCTGATGGCTTGGCACGAGTATACAATGGACCTAACCAGTTGCACGACTTTCTGGCACAGTCGGAATGGACGTTGATCCGACAACGCGTGCACAACTTTGGCCGTAAGGGCTGCCGTCGTCGTTTAAAACATCTTGACCAGCAACTAGCCAATGCGCGCTGGCTGTTCGACAAACATCGTCCTGCGCTGTGCGCGGATGCGATGCCCATTGAGTCACTTAGCTCGTTGACACGGGAACAGAAGAATTTGCTCATCCAAAATCAGGAAGACCAATATAGAGTTAGTGAATATACAGTTTGGCATGCGGATGCCGATTGCGTGGAGTTATTGGCGCTGAAATCACTTGAACACTTTGCCACGACTCTTCGCGAGGCTAAAGTAACAGAAGCGCTGATACCAAAGCTGCCTTTTGGTACGCTGCGTCATGTCCAAAACGAAGGGGCGCTTGTTCAGCTTGCAACAACCATACGTCAGCATGACAGGGCCATAATAAAGCGCTTTCCCAAACAACCAACGGCAGATATAGTGCACTCGCTTAAAGAACTACCTATCGCACAACTCTCTAGGAACGTAAAGTCGAAACTGTGGCTACTGGTTTTCTCCCTATACCGGGACCTCAGATACGCACAAGAAGAGGATGATCATATAAACGCACTTCTCGAGTTGCTGATTGGTAAGTATGCCCCCAACTTAAGTATTATGTTCCATAATGATTAGCTAATTGTCAAAATTTGATTAATTAAAATAGTGCAGGGGTCGAACCATTAACACCATTGAATGATCGTTTGTATAATTGATACTTATTTCAATTCCCACTTTTAGATATGATGCATTTTGGTCAGCCGCTGGCAATTTGCCTTTTCTTCCCAAAAATTAATGAGCTATTGGAGCTAGTACCTGCGACCCCCTTGCCAATGTCGGGGTGGCGCTTCTACCATACGCTTTTCGTACGCTCCATCCGCCGCCATGGACCAGGCACTGACATTTTCCTAACATCCTGTGCTGATTATCTGTGCCAATGTCTGAAAGCTGCTCACAAACTGAAGCGACAGGAGTGCAGCCTACTACTTTTGGCTATCGAGACCCTGACCGCAATGTCGGGCGCCCAAGCAAGGCGGCAGCTGCAACCTTTTCTCGAGACCTACGGCTTGTTCTTAGCGCACAAGTTTCGAAGCATAAGTAAGGATCCATCATACTACAAAGAGTTCGTCCAGGCGACCCTCGGTGGCTATGCCATTTACGTAAGCACCGTCATCAATCGCGCCGAGAAGCAAGAAGCGAATGCAGTGCCCATCGACGAAAGTTTTCGGCGCGTTTGCAAGATATACATAGGACATTCTGTACGTATAAAAATGTCTTTATTTAGAAAATTTCGAGAATGGCAACTCCATGAGTAACTCTCATATTTGGTTCAGCACAGGTTGAACACTACTGTAGTATTATAGAAATATTTGCTCTAATTGTACTCATTTCCTTTTTGTTCGATCAGCTTAACTATCGGAATCCGCATGCTATACGCCTGCTGAACGTGGCACTGACACATCGTCAACAGCTCCACCTCGACCAGGACGAGATTGAGTTCGTGCTCAACACATATTGGCAGCAGCTGTGTGCGGACATAGAGTCCGGTGAAATGCCCATTAAATCTATTGAGCCAGCCATCAAGCTCATCATTGGCTACAAGACCAATGAGGACTTTCTTCTGCTTCTGCGGGGCCTCGCAATCCAAATCGATGAACTACCTCAGCCGGTGCCTCCGGAGCAGCATACATGCCTACGGAATGTCCTTACATTACTGTCACTTTTCGCCAAGTGCGCGTTAAGCAGTATCAAAGGTGCGATTCTGAATGAGTACTTCGAGCTGATTAGTGGTAATGTTGTTCTGCGCTTGCCACCCGGCAGCTCCCCCACTCACTGCAGTCAATTGGTCTGCTTGCTAGAGGCACAGCGGGCTCTCGCTGGTAATCGTACTATTCCGCTAAGCGGCGACACCCTCGACTGCATGCTTACGACCGTGCTGAACGTGGACATTAAACGACACATTAGTGCCGGGGGTTGCTGGGAACACTTTGTAGAGCTGCATACGGCAATCACAGATAACTGCACGACGCTGCTGCGCCAACGGAGTCCCATTATGGCAGATCGCGTGCCACAACTGACGATGATCTACCAGGATCTGCTGCAGTCCATTGTGTGCTACAAGTCCGGGCGCACTCAGGCAATCAGTGAGTCGGAAGTAGATTGCCTCGCCGAGCTCGGTCTAAAGTTGGCCACTTTCATAGCTAGCGTGGTCAGCATGCAAGCATTGGCCGTGAAGCGTGTGGCACCGTTCTTGCTGATTTTCACTATTAAACAAATGGTGGGCAGCGAACAACCTACTACTGTCTTCGAAAAGGTGTGTTAGCAGTTATGCTCTTGGGTGTATTCCATCCTACCATTGAATACTAATTGTTATTTCAAATTGCAGATCAAGATGCAAGTTGTTCACATTTGCCACCAACTGATTAGTCTTTGTGACCATCGGTCTGGACACTTCGTTTTGCGCGCTAGTAGCGAAGCTGGTAGACGCATGTATCAGAGTTTAATCAAAGAGCACGAAAAGTATCACAGATTCAAGGGGAAAGTGTGAGCAAGACCTGGCCATTAATTCATGTTTCTTATTGGTTTTATCAACATTCACCTGCCTAAAAGCATTTTCTATTCCAGTAACGAATGCGGAATCTTTAAAGGACAATCACACAATTTCATTTTTATGTATAGTGCTAGCAGATCTTGCCCATCTTTGATGGGTTAAGTGTTTTTTCTCACAATTATAATTTTTTTTACAATATGCTATTTCTCTTCCGACACTATAAAATTTCTAAAGGAACAACCAATAGCTAAAGGAACAACCGAGAGCTAGGGCATATCACAAGTATGATCATACGTATACATACATAATATATATGGATATTTATGTACTATGATTAAAAGCACTAAAATTTAGCAAAGATATTTGGTGAACTTATACACAATTTGTATGTGTATGTACCTACATTATTTTAATTATTTCCTCTATGCTTTGATAAACATTTCACATAAACATAAATAAGCCGAGTTTAAAGTTAAAGTCACCTACACTTTACCAGGAAACTTGTGTCCAAATTGCGTCCGCTTATCATTTGGGCTTTGCGTTGACTGCACATACATTTTAAATCGTCCAAATGTAAGGAGAAGCAATTTTGCATTATATTTTTAAGATCAAATAGATATGTAGTTAAAAGATCTTAATACTTTTGCGATCCTGTATGTTTAAGATTTGAAATTACTTTGCAAATTGTTTTATATGTTTATGTATATTAACGTACTCTTTGGCGATGTACATAATATGTGTATATACAAATACATACTTGCATACATAAAAAAAATGTATATACAATTTATTAAACTAGTATTCTGCTACCAATATGGCAGCTTAAGCTAGTTGAAAACAAGTGGAGAAGCTAAAGTCGGGTGTCCCGACTTTACTGTACATATTTATGTATATGTATAATAATTAAGCGTGTTTGTGTGTGTCTGTGTATGTCTCGTGTGCAAAGCAGTAACATGGACAACAGCTTCGAGCAGTGCTTGGGCAAAGATGACATGACTATAACTTCCTGTTAAATCGGCCTACCATTATGAAACTGGCATACGGACACATATTAACTAAATGGTGGAATTTTCCGAATTTTAATGAAAAATTCCAAGAAATACGAGAGTTATGAAAAATCAGTGATTTTGTGGAAGGAGGGGGCAGGGAGAGAAATTCGAAAAAGCATATTTTCTGCTTATTCACATGTAGGCATCTTTGACTAAAATGGTGTCTCTAGGTCTTAAGTCTTCGAGATATGGGTGATTATACGAATCGAATATCGGGAAATCCCACATGGGGAAAAGTGGGGGCAAAATAAAAAAAAAATTGCAGATAAGGCATTATTATAGTAAAGTTTGGTGTATATAGCTTTTATAGTCTCTGAGATCCAGGAGTTCATACGGCATAGACAGGGCTAGATATATGTACAGATGTCAAAATTTTAAATCGTCCACCTGGGACGGAAAACAACTTTGGGTTGTATTTTGAAGAGGAAATATATAATTAACGGAATGTATATATTTCTGCAATCCACCATGTTTAATCTTTGAAATTGCATTGAAAATTGTCTAATGTATTATACCGTTTACCTACAATTGGCATTTTAATAATTAAAGTCAAATTTGACAACCCAAAAATAAATCGTCCAGTGTTGTTTGCGACTGAAAGTAACTATGTTTAATGTACTGTTAGAATTGTTGCTGTTTTTTTACAGTTATACCAAATAAGGTGTTGAGATATTTATTTATTTATATGTGTACGCTGTGCACGTTTGTTTCTCGTATTTCTTGGAATTTTTCATTGAAATCCGGAAAATCTGACCAGTTAGTGATTGCAATTGCAGCTTTCACATTTTCTGCGTATTCACATTAGGCATCTGGGACTAAAATTTGGTGTCCCTAGGTCTTATAGTCTCCGAGATATAAGCGATTATACGAATGGAAAATATGGAAAACCCCCGAAGGGGGGAAAATAAAAAAAATAAAACAAACTTGCACAGCGTACACACATAGGCCATCTTTGTGCAAAATTTGGTGTCTCTAGCTCTTATAGTCTCTGATATCTAGGTGTTCATACGGACAGACGGGCGGACAGACAGACAGACAGGTCTAGATCGACTCGTCTTGTCATGCTGATCAAGAATATATGTATATACTTTGTGGGGTCTGCCACGCCTCTTTCTGCCTGTTACATTTTTCAGCTCGCGCAAACCTAATATATACTTTTGTACATTTCATGTACATCATGTACATGTACAGTTTAAAGTTAAAGTCACCTACACTTTACCAGGAAACTTGTGTCCAAATTGCGTCCGCTTATCATTTGGGCTTTGCGTTGACTGCACATACATTTTAAATCGTCCAAATGTAAGGAGAAGCAATTTTGCATTATATTTTTAAGATCAAATAGATATGTAGTTAAAAGATCTTAATACTTTTGCGATCCTGTATGTTTAAGATTTGAAATTACTTTGCAAATTGTTTTATATGTTTATGTATATTAACGTACTCTTTGGCGATGTACATAATATGTGTATATACAAATACATACTTGCATACATAAAAAAAATGTATATACAATTTATTAAACTAGTATTCTGCTACCAATATGGCAGCTTAAGCTAGTTGAAAACAAGTGGAGAAGCTAAAGTCGGGTGTCCCGACTTTACTGTACATATTTATGTATATGTATAATAATTAAGCGTGTTTGTGTGTGTCTGTGTATGTCTCGTGTGCAAAGCAGTAACATGGACAACAGCTTCGAGCAGTGCTTGGGCAAAGATGACATGACTATAACTTCCTGTTAAATCGGCCTACCATTATGAAACTGGCATACGGACACATATTAACTAAATGGTGGAATTTTCCGAATTTTAATGAAAAATTCCAAGAAATACGAGAGTTATGAAAAATCAGTGATTTTGTGGAAGGAGGGGGCAGGGAGAGAAATTCGAAAAAGCATATTTTCTGCTTATTCACATGTAGGCATCTTTGACTAAAATGGTGTCTCTAGGTCTTAAGTCTTCGAGATATGGGTGATTATACGAATCGAATATCGGGAAATCCCACATGGGGAAAAGTGGGGGCAAAATAAAAAAAAAATTGCAGATAAGGCATTATTATAGTAAAGTTTGGTGTATATAGCTTTTATAGTCTCTGAGATCCAGGAGTTCATACGGCATAGACAGGGCTAGATATATGTACAGATGTCAAAATTTTAAATCGTCCACCTGGGACGGAAAACAACTTTGGGTTGTATTTTGAAGAGGAAATATATAATTAACGGAATGTATATATTTCTGCAATCCACCATGTTTAATCTTTGAAATTGCATTGAAAATTGTCTAATGTATTATACCGTTTACCTACAATTGGCATTTTAATAATTAAAGTCAAATTTGACAACCCAAAAATAAATCGTCCAGTGTTGTTTGCGACTGAAAGTAACTATGTTTAATGTACTGTTAGAATTGTTGCTGTTTTTTTACAGTTATACCAAATAAGGTGTTGAGATATTTATTTATTTATATGTGTACGCTGTGCACGTTTGTTTCTCGTATTTCTTGGAATTTTTCATTGAAATCCGGAAAATCTGACCAGTTAGTGATTGCAATTGCAGCTTTCACATTTTCTGCGTATTCACATTAGGCATCTGGGACTAAAATTTGGTGTCCCTAGGTCTTATAGTCTCCGAGATATAAGCGATTATACGAATGGAAAATATGGAAAACCCCCGAAGGGGGGAAAATAAAAAAAATAAAACAAACTTGCACAGCGTACACACATAGGCCATCTTTGTGCAAAATTTGGTGTCTCTAGCTCTTATAGTCTCTGATATCTAGGTGTTCATACGGACAGACGGGCGGACAGACAGACAGACAGGTCTAGATCGACTCGTCTTGTCATGCTGATCAAGAATATATGTATATACTTTGTGGGGTCTGCCACGCCTCTTTCTGCCTGTTACATTTTTCAGCTCGCGCAAACCTAATATATACTTTTGTACATTTCATGTACAGAGACAAAGAGAGTTGTATAATAGACCTAGTGCTAATGTGTTGTCATGGTAATGTAGCCTATTTATGTACTTCTCAGCATTTGATTTTATCACATCTCTGACCATTGGTATTTTAAGATCCCTGTGTATGTCATAAACCTGGAAGCACCTGTTATGGTGCAGAGGGTCATAGACTGATATCGGTGGAGAATTTAAATGTTTGAATTGCTAGCTGTTCCCCACAGCTGCAGCGCATAAGTCCATACTGGCTTTAGAATTGCCTTGCCAAAGCCTTACTTTGTTCTGAAGATGCTATGAGCGTGGTCCTAAGAGCCAGTACATTTTTTTTTTTGACTTTGCCTTTAGCTGTTTTTGCTTTGCTTTATTGTGTTTCTTCCAAGTATCCAGATGTACTCCTACGTATTTCACCGTGTCGTTAACTGGAATTGGAGAGTCATTTAGTGTCACTGGGGGACAATCTCCTGGTCTCAGTGCGAATGTGACTTGCACTGACTTCTGGGCGTTAACAGCTATTCTCCACATTTTCAGCCAGACATCAATTATATCAAGTTCTTCTTGGACTAGGCTGGAGGCAATATGTGGGTCCTTGCTGGTAGCAATGCTACTGGCCGAATCGTCATGTTCTTGGACATAAAATAACCTATTTTTCAGGTATGAGTTCAAAATCAGGAAGTATGGTGCGGGTAGCCATTTCTTAATTTTATATAAAAGACCTGCATGCCAAACATTGTCAAACGCTTGTTTTACATCTAGGAATACAAGCGCATTTACAATTGCATTCGTAATGCAATGGCATTGTTCAATCGTTCCGTGTCCTCTTCTAAACCCAAACTGGTGTTCGGGTATGATATTAAGTTCGTCCAGTACAGGTAGCATTCTTCTTAAAAGTATACGATCAAATACTTTAGAGAATGCCACCAGTAAACTGATGTGACGGTACGACGATATGCAGCTTTCCGGTTTGTTGGGATTGGAAATCATTATTACTTTCGCGCATTTCCACTGACTAGGGAAGTATTCTAGTCTGAGCATAGCATTGTATATGTATGCATTCTTCTTAAAAGTATACGATCAAATACTTTAGAGAATGCCACCAGTAAACTGATGTGACGGTACGACGATATGCAGCTTTCCGGTTTGTTGGGATTGGAAATCATTATTACTTTCGCGCATTTCCACTGACTAGGGAAGTATTCTAGTCTGAGCATAGCATTGTATATGTATGTTAACAATCTGATGCATTTTGGCGGGAGATTTTAAATTGTATTTCCACAAATTTTGTCATATCCTGGGGATTTAGTCTTATTTAGCTTCTTTATCTCTTCTTCAACTTCTGACAAAGTCGTTTGTCGTTTTGCACCTCAACTTCTGTGGCAGGATCATTTTCCAGATTTGGCTTGAAAACCGAGCTTAAATGTTCTGCAAACGCCTCAGCCTTTTCAGAATTGCTTCTGCAGTGCTGTCCCCTGCTGTCTACAAATGTGGTAGTTCTCCTGGTTGGTCTCTTTAGATATTTTGTTGCTCACCAAAGGCTATAATTGAGGTCACTGATATATGGATCAAGGTTTCTTAAGTATTCTGCTGTTGCTTCGTTTTTGATTTCCCATAGTTTGGTGCTTAAGTCTTTTGCAGCCTTGTTAAGTTTTCTTTTGGACTTCGCGTTGATTGTCATATTTTCCGGAGCTTTTTACGCGGGTCAGTTTGGATGTACAAGCCTTGATCCCCACCATGGGTGCTTGGCGTTATGGTCGCCATCAGCTATAAAGCGTCTGCCAAGTTTTTGGAAGAGAGAATTAAAGTCGTCAGTTTACAAGGATATCTTGGTGGAAGGTACACTGCATCAACAGATATGTCTAAATGTTCACATTTTATTTGGACCGCTGCAACTTGCAAATTGTTTGTGTTGACACTGTCTTGTATTTCAAAGTCTTCTTCACAATACCTGCACTTCCACCTTGTGCTCTGCCAGATGGTTGATAGGCATTTATGATGTCGTACCCGTTAATTGCTATATAGTCTTTCTTGGTAAAGTGTGTTTCCGAAATAAGTAATATGTCAATGCTGTTGGTTTTAATAAATATTGTTATTTCATTTCGGTGGCTGGAAAGACCATTGGCGTTCCATATTGGTATATGAAGGTATACTTGCATAATTTGTTTACTAGCACATTATCATGTTGCGTAAGTTGGTTGTTAACTCTGACTGTTTTACTAGTAATTGTTCAATTCTGTTTAGGGCTGATTTTTCTTGTGTTACAGTCTCACCTCGTAGTACTTGTGTGTAACTTGCTTGATTTGAGTACGTATTTTCATAGCTTGGTTTTGTTGAAATATTTGACGTTGATCTCAGTCTATCATGCGTAGCAGTTGTCACTGGTTTTCTAATGGGTGCACTGGGCATATTTCTGGTAATGCCTTGGTAAACTCTTCAGCCTTTGTAGCTGGCAGCATGATTCTCGTGGCAGTTGGCACAAGTTGCTGGATCATTCTTTTCTTTAGGACAGTTGACACTCGGGTGATTCTCAGCACATTTAACACACTTGACTCTTTTGTTGCAATATGATTTAGTGTGCCCGAACTCTTCGCATCGGTAGCATTGCACCATATCATTCACTTTCCTTGGTGGTTCAATTGTAACAATGGCATTGTTAATGTGTTTTATATTGTAGATCTCAGTGCTGTTCTTTAGTGGCCTTAGGTCTATGAAAAACATTGGCAGTGGTTCCTTGGTAATGCGGCTTCTAATATTGTGTACTTAATTGATTCCGTTTTTGCTGTGTGGTGAATGTTCTTGAATACAACTCTAAATGTCTGTTTATGATTAAGCTGAAATGTATGGTAGTCTATGTTATCGATCTTAAGCAATTTGGCTAGATCCCTGTATTTTTCAATTTTCTTCACCATAATGCGAATATGACCGTCTCGTTGTGACTTATAGGTGAATTCAGTGGTGCTCAAGTATGGCCTGAGGTGGAGAAGCAATCCATTTATATCAGTGACATTATATATAACAAGAGGGAACGTTACAGTCGAGCAAGCCCGACAGTGAAATACCCTGTACCCAGGTAAATTTCCGACACTGAGGTATATGCGCCCATAGCAGAAGCAAAAAGAGGAAGAAGAGCGAACTTGTTGCTGCAGTTTGAGGGGCTTGTACTGGAGAGAATTTGTTTCGTTAATAACTTTTCTTAAAATTGACCGGATTGGATAAAAGAACAGTAGATAATTATATATAAATGATATGTGCAAAGTTTGGTTTAGGTAGCATTTGAAATGTGGACGCTATTGACGAAATTCTCTAGCAGGGGAAGGGGGGCGAAATTCCAAAAAATAAAATAAACTCGTCCTTTCTCGGGCATAGCAGAATCTGGATACCAACTTTGATGAGCTCGTTTTCCCCGCTTTGGAGCTCTAATTTATCAAAACAGTTTCTTAGTGCGCACCTACACTGTGATACTTGGGTCCAAATTGCAGCTTCCTAGCTCTTATCGTCAGTCAGTCAGCATAAACTGTGTTATATATGTATATAGAGACATAGATTTTTGTATTTATTGTGTTACTATCAATTTCTTGATAAACAGTCTTCATCATTACATACATACATAAGTATGTCAACGAGTATGTATTTATATTCTACATGTGTATGAAGTAGGTGTATTTGGTGTATGCAAGCTGTATGTATAGACTTCTTTGAAATAATTTGTATGAAAGCGTACGATTTCAGTTCTGTTATTACATACTATTAATTTCATTAATAGTCTTTAATATACATATGTGAAGGAATAGAAATTATATACATACATCTTTGATGTGTGTATGAATTTGCTGATTGGTATAAGGTATGTGTGTCAGTTCATGTATTTGTACGTATGTGTGTTTGACCGCTTGTACAGTTTTTTTTTTTTTTTTTTTTTTAATTTATGTGCGTGTACATTTCCAAATTTCAGTTTGAGTTTTCTGTCGGCATTTGAGAATGATTTGTACTAGAACAGCTAAATGTATGAAGCGATGAGTTGCCCGCAACCCACAGCTTTACGCACCTTCTAAGCGCAATACATTTGACAACGCTCGCATAAGGGATCCTCGGCCTCAGAGGGACGATTGCCGCTGTAATATGTGTACAAATAATTAAATACGCATCATTACATAAACAAAAATTCACCACTTACAATAATGTGACACAAGCGCGGCAAATAAATGCAGTGCACTCAACGCAAGAGTAACCGCACTCTTCACATAAGTCCATAGTGCAATTGACGCAAATGTCATGGATGAAAGTGCTATGCTGGCAGCAACGAGAGCTTCGGCGTTCGAGATTAGGATTTACCGCATCTTGATTCAAGTCGCGGACCAATATGGTTCCGTCACCCATCAATTGATATTGATCACAAAGGGACACATTTGTCGCAGTCGCCACGGTTGTTGTTGTAGTGGAGGTTGTGGATGTGGAGGTGGCACCACCATAACTGGCTGCAGTGTTATTGGCCACAGGCACAGCATTTTCGACACTATGTTTCTCAGTACTTTTACCATTAGCAGCCTTAAAAAGCAACTCGTTGGTTTTTTCTGAAATAAAAGTTTGCAATGAGTCGACAAAAATTTGGGTTTTTTACGTACCATGTACTGCTTTCATTTTCTCATCATCGTTTAAGTCGGCCATTTTCTGGTTTACCCAAACTTTAGTTTGAGTGGAGTGGTTACTGCCATTATCATCAGAGCGCATTCTTTTAAGTGGATTCCGTTCCATGATTGTAAGTCTTTGAAGCAAAGAAAAAATTTACCCAGAAAGAAAAGAAGTCCACCAGCATTGCGCCAGTAGAGGTGGCAAAATATCGATGGCACTGTCGATAGTATCGATGGTTTTAAATTTGTCTTAATATCATGGTTCTGGTTGATATATCGATAGCGTCATTAGCTTGCACTCACATTCCTAAATATGAAAAAGGTGGATAAGCAAGGTGTTTTTTAAATTTGTTAATAATCAGCAATTTATTTATATTTAGAGCTTGAGTGCGTGCCTGTTCCGATCTTAAAGTTTTCTATCCGAAAAACTGTTTTTAGTTTTATAATTAAATTTAGATTCGAGTTGGTAGCACTGTACTGTACGTTACAAATGAGTATAAATTAATTTTGTTGAAAATAGTATTTTTAAATATTTTAGTGAAAAGTACTACATTCAAAATTTGAAAAATGTTTGTTCTTTTATCAGGTATTTTTCACAATGGTCCAATTCCTTCCAATGATTAAAGATCGATGGCTTTTAAAATAAAAAGCTTCTACGATCAGAGAAAATGCTTTTTACTGCGACATTTTATTTTACAAGTATTGTTTAGCCGTGACTTGCGACTTAGCGATACTTCTTACCTACCTTAGTGTGTGAAAAGGCATCGAGCGCAGACAACTCGTATTCGGCCGTCGTATCGTGCAAGTCGTGTGAACGATCTTTGAATTTGTATATTTTTTCTCGACAACGAGGTGCGTTTGGCTTTTCGTTTACTAGAGCTTACACAATATTTCTTGAAACGCGAGTGGAAATGAATATGCTTACATTTATAATAATAAAATGAAAATGTGGCGTCCAATGGCATGGAAACCCAAATTAGAAGAAAAGTCGGAATTCGTTTTTTTCTGCTGAATATAAGAACGATCAGCAACGCGCAGACGAAAGCAAAGTACCTGAAAATCATGCGTACTTGACAATATGCGCGAGTGCTCAGAATAAAAGAAGTCAAAAAAGAAACGCAAACAATGCAAAATAGTAGGGCAATAATAATATTTATGTTAAGCATTTTTTTCACAATGATGGATTTCTTTATACCTAACAATGATAATACGTGAGTTCAGACCAGCGACCACAAGTAAATGCAACGACAAAAAAAACTACGACGAACGCAGAAGCAGAAACCACAAGCATTTTTGCAGACACAGCAGCAAGCAAAACACACATAAATAAATATATATACACCAAGTAAACTGCTGAAGTGGAAGATTCATCGTCGACAAGGAGAATAATAACTTTAAAACTGATGGCAGCTATTAAGCATTGTAAAAAGCACTTGCTAATTAGCCTGCTGCTTATCTTTATTCTAATAAAAACCCAATTGACACACTCGATAGAGTTTGATGATGTTGTGTTTGCCGCAAGCTCTACACCTGGCCCGATGTTAACGTATCCTACATCATCGGGACGCCCCCAGCGCCCATCTGTAAAGCTGAACAAATGCTGCCACTTCGGCGAGTATTTAAATGCGACGACGCGGACCTGCATTGCGGGGTCTTCAGAACACTGGGTGCCACTCGTCTATTTAATACAAAGGCATGCTTACTTCAATCCTGTGGGTGGCCATCCTTCCTTTATGGAGTTCTCGCCCAATATGCGCCCCAGCATACCACAACAGCGGCAACAGCAAGATGAGGAACAAGGGCAAGACCTAAGTAGCTGCCGGGATCAAGATTTGGAGCTGTTTCAGGACCGACAGGCCAAACTTGTGATCTTTGGTAATGGATCGCTATATGTGCGAGAGCGTGCTGTGCTCATCAAACCGCTTAGCTACTGCGTGGACCGACAGGTGGCACTTGTGTGCTTTACGCGATCCGTTGCCTCAACACCAGATCAAAAGCAGCGGGAAAGGGAGGGAGTGGGAAATGTGACAGCTCCTTTACGTCTATACAAGTGTTGCGGTAAAAATCGCAATTATGACTCAGTCACCAAAACGTGCAGCATCGCGGCGAAGGGCAATGGCCAGCTGACACTAACTCCGCAGCTAGAGGCTGGTGCTTATCAAACATTGTACGGTTTGCCGGAGTGCAGTAAAGAAGCCTATAACGCCAGTTACGTCATTGCTGGCGACTGGCAAGAGGCGCAGCTGAATCGTAGTAGTGGAGAACTGCATCTCACTCACAAGAATCTGAGCGCGTCACAGTACTGCCTGGAGCATACTCAGCGCGACGGCGAGGTAAAGATCATAGCTTGCACGCAGCACTTCTCTCCTGCCATCAACTTGGAGGTGGACAGTGACGGCCAGACGTCAGGTGCCCGCCTGCAGAAAGCTGTGCTCAACGTGGGCATACTCATCTCAGTAGTGTTTTTGGCGGCAACACTAGCTGCCGGCTATATGATGCCCGCAGTACACCATGCGCTACACTGGCGCTGCCAGATTTACTATGTTTTTTGTCTGCTGGTTGGCGAGGTGTTGCTGGCTATCGAGCAACTGCATACAGCACTTGTATCGGGATCCGGATGGTGCCTTCTAGTTGCCGTCGGTATGCAGTTTTTCTTTCTAAGCGCTTTCTTTTGGTTGAACACCATGTGCTTTAACATCTGGTGGACCTTTCGCGACTTTCGACCCAGCTCACTGGAACGAAACCAGGAGGCACTACGTCTAAGGCTTTACTCGGCATACGCCTGGGGCGTTCCATTGCTCATCTGCACGATTGCAGCATGCGTGGACCAACTACCGGATACAACACTGTTAAGGCCGGGATTCGCTCAGCCCTACTGCTGGTTTGACAATCGCACGCTCGCTATCTTCGCCTACTTCTATGGCCCCATAGGGCTGTTGCTCTGCGCCAACATTGCCCTCTTCATATCGACCACTCACCAGCTGACCTGCGGCCTTTGGAAGCGTGACGACGTCAAGTCTTCAACCGAAAAGTCGGCTCTAGGCAAGGTGTGCCTTAAGCTGGTGGTGGTTATGGGTGTCACCTGGATAGCGGACATCATATCCTGGATTGTGGGCGGGCCCCATGAGGCGTGGCTGCTAACAGATCTAATAAATGCGCTGCAGGGTGTCTTCATCTTTATAGTTGTTGGCTGCCAGCCACAGGTTTGGACTGCCTGCAAGCGTATCTGTTGCCCACGTCTGCGTCATGATATAACCAACACAACAAATGGCGTTCAACATTCTAGCAGTTCACAGGGCCTGCCTTCTATGGCAGGCTGTGGCACGGAGTTCACGCAGAACACGTCCATGAATATAACTAGTACACAGTGCACGAGTTCCAGTAGTCCTCCAAACAGCTCCTCTAATAAAGGGGTGTGCGTGAGCGGCGACTTTGGCAGCTCTGTCGATAACACCGGGGTTGACAGCAGCGCTAATGGCAGTGGTGATAGCGCCGCTGCGCTAACCGATAGCGCGATGATAACGACAGCAAAGATTCCCATGGAAACCATTTGTTAAGGTAAATAAGTGATAAAATAACAAAACGCCAACAAAAACTAGAAAAAAGCCACTAAATTAACCTACTTCAAGATAACACCGTCAAATTCTCTCTGAATGCCTTTTTATCTCTCTGCATCTCCCACCATTTCCAATTATTTAAGGAGTATATTCCTCAAGAGACGTTAAATAATTTATTAATTAATTTAGGCAAGTATGTATAGCCTAAGCAAAGTAATTATTATACCCCTGCAAATGGTATTATTATTCATGCACTTGTCGGACTTATTGCTGGTACGATCTTACTCTTTATACCCTGTGTTAAAAAAAATTCAATACACTATACCCGTACATTGATCAATGCGTTCCTTGCTGGTAGCACAGATTATGGTACTATTCACTATTTTAAAAAATTTAATTACTTTAAAACATGCGCCAAGTTTACGATTTCGCGCTAAATACATGAGAATGTCATAAAATGAAAATGTTGCCATGACCATTGATGTCGGTAAGAATGAGAATGGGAATGTGCATGTATGTATGTATATTTGAGTGTGGGTAAGGTTGTTGTTGAGTTTCCATGAAATACGCTGGTCGTAGGTTTTTGCTGCTTTTTGGACATTTTCGTTAGATTTACAAATAGCCATACAAGAATTAGCAAGTGCTTGTAATATGCGATCGTACGGCGTATTGCGATATTTATGTGCCCTTTTTATTTTTTGCAGCTGCGACGAGCGAAAATGCGAAATTAAAGTTAATCCCAAGCTCAGATACATATTGACGGTTACGGCGTGGAACTAACAAAGGCAGGAAGGCAAAATTGCGCAATATCAGCCAAAAACAACGAAAAACACAACAACAACGGCATTCAAGCACGCGCATTGACCAACCAAGTAAACGGCGCATCGATCAGCTTTTGTAAGCGTATTGTTGCTGTAAATATACACACATATGTATGTCTGTATATATGTACATACATACATATGTAAATATGTGAACGATTTTGAAATCAGCTACACTGTGTTGATGTATGTACATGCTTTCATTTATACATAAGTATGTACATACGGTGCAACTACAACGGAGAACAATTAGCATTTAACTTGAGCATAAACAAACGCTACAGAAAAGAAATGTATGTATTTTAAACTACACATGTATGTATATATATGTATGTACATAATACAACCAATGCTTGTCAACCATGTAAACGGTATAATAGACACGTCTGAGCAACAGGTTACATTCAGATTGAATTGTGTGTGCATACACACATACATATGTATCTATGTACGTGCATACATACATATGTATGTACCGTACACCGTGGCATTAACTTAATCAACAACATGGAAATGCTTGAAAGACGTTTTGAAATTGTAAAGTGTGCTTCAAAAGTGCCTAAAAATTGTCACCACAAAACGTAATTATTGTTCGCGGATTTCACAAAGCGAATTAACAACTTGCGTTGGCAGCTATTTTGGTGGACCGGTCATTGGGTGTGTGTCTGTATGTTTATGTATAATGAGCAGCAGCAGCATCAAGGAATTTATTGTTATTCCATTTTTTCTCTTAATTTTTTTGAAAGTATTTTAGTGCTCAACTTTAAAAGTCAAGTGTGATGAAGCAACACAACAACAAAAGCTCCGAAAGCAAATGCAAAAGCACAAACACAACACACAAATATTTAACATTTAAATTACGTGGCTCCTGTTGCACTCATTTTTAACATTACATTCAAACGTTCGTAATCGCTTGTATGTACATACATACATATGTATGTAAGTTATGTACATAAATACTTTTATGTCGAATTTAAATAATTTTTCCAGTTTTTAACAGCCTTTATTTATTTTTTCACGTTTGCGCTAAAGTACATACAAACATAAATTTTTAAAAAATTACATATATACGTACATACATATATACATATGTATGTATGTGGTTTCAATTGCTAAAAAAACGCAATTTAGTTAAACAAAAGAAGGAAGCTAGCTAATTGTTTACCATAAATGAAACAGATTCATACATATTTATAGACATACATATGTATGCACGTATGTATAAACAGACATGCTATGATTGACTCACTTCAAAGTTCAACGCAACAGACTCATCAAGGTTGATCTCATACATATGTATGTATTTACATGTGCATGTACAAACATTCGTATTTCAACACGAGTAAAAGCTATTAAGAGGCCGTCCCTCACCAACATGCAAATGACGGCCAATACCGTTAACTAATCAAATTGGCGTTGCTAGACTAGGAGTCAATGTGCCGTTTCAAGTGTTATGCTATCTTCAACCGTCGTTACTATTTGACAATATGTATTTGTTTCCATATAATTTGCTTAAATTTAAAAAAACGCAGAAACTTAGAACAGAACAATTATTATTTCTTAATTTATTTGACAAATTATTTAATTGTGCGCACTCAAAGTGTGTATGTATGTTTAATACCAATACAAATATAAGCATATGTCTAATTATTTTTTAGTACACACATAACTTTACATATACACATACATTGGTACATAACCAATGACACATATAGTACTTGCTCATAATATGTATGTGTACATAGTATGTACATAGTGTATGTCCATATTTACTTCCAAAGTGTTCAGACCAGGAGTTCGCCTTTTTTCTTTTTGTTAAATGTATATATTTGTGTGTGTGCAATTTTGTATATAAAACATTTACATATACATATATGAAACTAACGAAATCTTCTAATATAAGCAACAAAATTTTGTACTGACTGAGGCAATGCGGCTAAACTGCAACGAATATCTTATATCTACATATGTATAATGTATGTATATTATATACATACATACATATGCATACCTAAAATGTACGGCTATTTTTGATACTAAAAACAAACAAATGATTGTAAATACTATACGTATCAGTTTATTAACGATCACGTTAAACTGAACAACTGAAAGCTTAATATTTTTTTTTTACCATGAAAACAACTACTCGAATATCGGAACAACGAATATGCACCATTTGCAAGTCTTATTACATATATAACCATAAACCAGTTTTCTTTAAAATAAAACTGCTTATTGGCCCTAAGTGTTATTTATGTAACAATTTTAGCCCATTTAGATAACTTAAGTCCAACGGCCCAAAATAAAGAAACGGCCGTATCTTTGTATTATTATATTAGATATTTTAAAGATGGTATACATTTATTTATTGTCAGATAATTATTGATATGTGACTAACTTAAATACATTTAAATAAATATGAAGTTATACATATATACGTGTTGTATTTATCGTATACATCATGGGTGAATATCCAGCTCATGGTGTCAGTACACAATAAAACAAAAACTAAATCTATGTTTCTAGTGCACCAAGGTATTACAATACTTTTTCTGAACTTGTACGCATCGATCTCGGAAGTACATCCCCACTCCCCCGCTATTAGTGATTTGACATATTATTTTCACCCATTATCATATTATTTTACGCCTATTAACGATGTCCATAAGTTTATTAAACGAAATAGAAAACAAGTGGAGAAGCTCAAGTCGGGTTTCCCGTACAGGGTACATAAAGGGAAAATTTAAAATGTATTAATTTAATTAAATAAAACATATTCAATACATACATACATAAATGACATATGTTTATGTACAGCTTCAACATCATGCATTTACATCAGGATCGTATCTATGCATGTTTATATGCATTAGAGAAATAAGTCGAAGCAGCAACACCAACAGCTGCGGGCAGAGATTATATTTATGGCTATAACTTTCTTTTTAATTGACCTACTGAAACTTTGCATACGGACATATGTATAATCACTAACGGGATGTAATTGCGGATTATTTAATTTTAGTTCAAAATTCAAAGAATAACGGGAATTATAGCAAATCATTAATAGCGGGTGAGTGGCGGGTGCATCAGAAAAAAATAGAAACTCGACCTCTCTCTGATTTAGGAGAATCTAGATAGCACATTTATTTTTTCTAGCTCTTATACTTTCTGAAATCCTTGCTTTTATACAGGGTGCGCCATCTTTTATGTCGGTATGTAGCGCAGGAGGAGCCTGCCTATTACATTCATTCGCACAAAACTAGTATACCCTTTCACCCTTTGGGTACAGGGTTTTATTAATTGGAAAAAAAAAGTTGGTGATGCTACACTGCGTTGCAGGTTGAAAGAAGTTATTATTAATACGTAAATTGTACGCAAATAGTCGATATTACCCCAACAAATCAAGCAAAACGTCTGTCATTTGCTTTGGAACAATGTGGCACAATGTGTTATGGACAGGTGAGTCCATTTCAGTTCCAGGGCTTATTTGGAAAAAAATATATATGCATGTACGCCAACTTAAAAGCTTTGGATATAGCGCTGTTATGTTTTAGGGATGTATGTTTACTGTGTATTTGGTGGTTTGGTTCTGATAGAAGGCACTATAATTTAATACGCCTGGCATAAAAAATTAATAAACAAGAGAGAACGCTACAGTCGAGCAAGCCCGTACTGTAGCCTGTACTCTCCACAAAAAAGGAAAATTAAAAAAAAAGATTTAAAACAAGTAAAAAGCTAAAGTCGGGTGTCCCGACTTTGAAATACTCTGTACATATGTTTACAATAATTATAGAAAATAAAAAATTAAGAAAATAAAAAAAAATTGGATCAATTTTACCTCTCTCGGTATTCGAACTCACGTAAAGGGTTTAAAATTGCACATTTACATAGCAATTGCGTCTGTGTGAGTGTACGTATGCCTATGCGCATCTATTCGTGTCTGTGTAAACATGTTAGCAGTCAACCAAACAGCAACATCAACAACAGCCGCGGGCAGCGCTTGAGCAGCGCTGCAGCAGCAAATTTATTTATGGCTATAACTTCTTGTTAAATCGGTCTATCATAGTGAAACATGGTATACGGACACATAATAACTAACTGGGGGTATTTTTTAAATTTTTAAAAAAAATCGCGATTTGCGGGGGAGAGAGGGAAATTCCAAAATACACATTTTCTGCGTATTCACATAAGGCATCTGGTGTTCCTAGGTCTAATAGTCTCCGAGATATAGGCGATTATACGAATGGAAAATCGGGAAAAACCCCCATAGGGGGGAAGTGGGGGGAAAATCAAAAAAATAAATCAAACTCGTATAGAACACACACATAAGGCATCTTTGTGCAAAATTTGGTGTCTCTATCTCTTATAGTCTCTGAGATCCAGGTGTTCATACGGACGGACAGACAGGGCTAGATCGACTCGTCTCGTCATGCTGATCAAGAATATATATACTTTATGGGGTCTGCCACGCCTCCTTCTGCCTGTTACATTTTTCAGCTCCCGCAAACCTAATACTTGTATACTTCTGTACATTTCATGTACAGAGTGTAAAAATGTGTTTATATGCGTGTATGTATGCAGCACAAATTTAAACCAAAGCAGCAACAACAACAACAGCTGCTGACAGAGGTACATGGGCAGCGATTTTACTTATGGCTATAACTTTCTTCAGAATTGACCCATCGTGATGAAACTTGGCACACGGACACATAAGCTTTGCACATAGACATTGATTTCAAAATTCCAAGAATTACGAAGTGGGGGCTGTATCAGAATAAAAAAATAAACTTGACCTGCCTGGGACGTAGACGAATCTCGATACCAAGTTTGGTTATTCTAGCTCTGGTACTTCCTGAGATTCTTGCGCTCATATAGACAGTCGGACGGACGGACATGGCTATATCGACTTGTCTTGCCATCCTGATCAATACGCCTTCTTCTGTGTGTTACATACATTCGCACAAAACTAGTACTATATAGCCTTTTACCCTTTGAGAACAGGCTATAAAAATATAACATATCAATATAAATAACTCAAGTTAAGTTTTGTGTAATTACTTTTGACGCAAATAAAATGTGTGTAAATACTTTTGACAACTTATAGGCATTACTTCTTTTGCTTATATTTTCGTCATATGAACCATTATCTTTTTGATTGATCTTCCATTTGATTGTGCATAGATCAAACTATGTGACAACAACATTTTTTTCGAAACTAACATCCAAGAACATCAACAAAAAGGTTCGATAATAGAATATGTTAAACAAGAAAGGAATGCTAAAGTCGAGCAGGCTCAACTCTTAAATACCCTGTACCACCCCACAAAAAAAAAAATTAGTAAAAAAATTTAATTAATTAATTAAATTAAATATAAAATATTCCAAACATGCATACATACATTTACATCAAAATCGGGAAAAATGAAAAAACTTGCCCTTTCTCGGGCGTAGGAGAATCTGTATACCAAGATTGGTTATTCTAGCTCTTAAACTTTCTGGGATCTTTGCGTTCAAGCAGTCAGACGGACATGGCTTTATCGACTCGGCTTGACATCCTGATCAATAAAATATATACTTTGTGGTGTCTGCCACGCCTTCTTCTATGTGTTACATATACACTCGCACAAAACTAACATTCCCTTTTACCCTTTTCTTTGTATGCTCTGTATACCATCTGGCAATATTTATACATGTCAAGGACATCTGTAACCCATCTTTTGCAAGGCATATGGCAATATCATAAGTATCATCAATACCATCAGCTGACTTTAAGCAAATTTTGTCGACAATTTAAAATTTGTATTAAATGTATTTCAAATCATTCAAAAAATAGGTATAGTTAATTATAGTAGGTAAGTATCCTATATATTAGGTTGTTTTGGAAATAATAACAATTAGCAGCTTGTAACATTTATGTTACATTGGGTTGGAACGTTCATAACAATATAATGTGACAGATCTGTATCAAACCGATTTTATTGTATAATTTACAAGTGAAGCACCTGTATTATGTGTCTTATTTGCTCATAATTTAAACAGAATTATCTCCCGTGACTATGGATGAAATAGTCGCTCATCTATTGAAGAATCTGACTATGAGCCGATCGCTTGATTGACTGGCCAGTCAGAGGATGAAAACGTTAATAGAAGCAACCTGCATGACGAATTACTCCCCGGATCTTCTAAACCCCAAACAATATAATCCAAAATACTGTGGGAAAAAGCAAGTCTTCAGTAATCTGACGACCAAGTGCGATTTTCAGGTGATATACGAGCCCTAACCACTATTAATTGGTACGGCAAGGTTTTTTTCGACAGTGCAACTTTCAATGACTCATATTTATTTGTAGGCGATGATTGCCCAAACATATTTATACTTTTTAAAAAGGTCATTGAATTACCTTTAATTTCATATAAAAACATGCACAAGTTTCATATCAACAAAATGAAAAAACTCAATTTAAATAAAACAACTTTCATACTACACGAAATATTTTGACCATTATTAATTGGTACGGCAACATTATATATTCATTAAAACTGAGTAACATCTCCTTTATTTTTAATAACACCCTGAATTCTCTTCTGCATGGTATTTACTAATTTTAGGCATTCTTCTGGAGTTATGGAATCCCAAATTTCCTGAATTTTTGATTTTAGTCCTGACAGAGTACGCTGTGGGTCATTCCTCAGCTTTCTTTTGATGATTGCCCACAAGTTTTCTATTGGGCTTACATCTGGGCTTGATGACGGCCAATCTAAGACATCAATTCCATTTTCTTGAAGCCAATTTTTGGTTGTTTTTGCGGTGTGTGGTGATGCACCATCCTGTTGAAAGGTATATTCCCCACACTCAGAAAGCTTTGGTATTGATGGAAGGAGATTACTTTGAAGGATACACTTGTATTTTTCTGCATTTACAGTTCCATCTATAAAGTAAAGTTGTCCCCCACCTTTGGCTGACATGCATCCCCACACCATTGTGCTCGTTGGAAACTTGACTGTACGTATAAGACAATCTTTGTGATATGCCTCCGTACGTTTTCGTATTACTCGTTTTCGAGCATCACCGACACACACATCAAATTTGGATTCATCGCTAAAAATTATAGAATGCCAACGCCTCTGTTCCCAATTCTGCCTTTGTCTTGCCCATAGCAATCGTTTTTTCATCTGCAAAGCTGTGAGCAATGGTTTTTCTTTGGCCTAAAAACACCAACATATATTATTTGTACAGGAAAAATTATCTGTTATGCTAAGCAGGAACCGCAATCATACCTTATAGAAGCCATATCCAATTCTTTTCATTTGCTGTCGAGTCCATTCTCGTTTCACTGTTTTCCCAATTTTTGCAGACCATTTTGCCGATATATCTCTCACAGTACTTCGCCGACTTTCCTTTATTGTACTCGACAAACTTCTTTTGTCACGCGAAGTAACTTTTGAGACTCGACCTCTGTTCGCTGTATTACAGTGTATATTGCCATTCTTTCTGTAGCTTTTCACTATATTTTGAACTGTAGACTTAGAAAGCATAAGACTTTTCGATATTTCACCATAGCTGTTGCCCAAATTTAATTTTTTTAGAATTTTAGCTCGAACTTCCTCACAAACTGGCTTGCCACGTGCCATCGTGCTCATAAATCAGGGAATAAAACTAAAACTACAACTAAATGTCATATGTTTTTACTTTTCCTTCATCACAATATTCTATTTACCGTTACTTGTCCAGTTTTTGTTTATATTTTACATTTTTCACCGTTTTTTTAAGAAAAATAATGTTGCCGTACCAATTAATAATGGTCAAAATATTTCGTGTAGTATGAAAGTTGTTTTATTTAAATTGAGTTTTTTCATTTTGTTGATATGAAACTTGTGCATGTTTTTATATGAAATTAAAGGTAATTCAATGACCTTTTTAAAAAGTATAAATATGTTTGGGCAATCATCGCCTACAAATAAATATGAGTCATTGAAAGTTGCACTGTCGAAAAAAACCTTGCCGTACCAATTAATAGTGGTTAGGGCTCGTAATACTTTGCCTAATCAGTTCTTGGAATCAGAAACGCCAAAACTTACCATGCCTCAACTATAGACATACAGCAGTTCATGGGAATAGCATATATAATGTCGTTGGTGCTTCTCGCAAAACACTGGAATCAATTAATAGGGACTAATGTTATCAAAACAACAATGTCCTGAAATGATTAGGAAATATTTTCATGTCAATGACAATTCTAAAATGCTGCCTCGTGAGCACCCTTAAATAGACTAGATTCGTCTTCTTATAAAATATTTACATACATCATGCTTTTAAAAACGTCCTTTTCGAAAAACGTACAAGTATGTCAATTGATGAACAGATTCCTTCAACAAAAGAAAAATTGTTGAAACGATATAATTCGAATAAGCCAAAGTTGCAAGTTCGATCTGACATTACTGAATATGTTTATCATTTAAAAATTGACTCCGGAGCTGAAAGTCGCTCACAAGCAGATGAACCAGATTTGGCTGCTTCAACCAATGTCTCGTCAGATTATGTAGTTATTTTAAGAAATCAAAATTTTAAGGTTTACTTTGAAAATTATTTTACTTCATTGCCGCTTTAACAATACCTTTCACCAGAAGGAAAATTTAGCCTTGCAACCATAAGCAGAAAAGGAATTTCCGACTACGAACTTCTTGATCCACAAGGAGTCGCTTTCAAAACAAGTTCATGGATTTTCAGAAGAATAACTCGGCAATAAGAAAGGTACTGATAAAGACGGTAACTTTTGCAAGTACATTTGTTGGGACTGATTTAAAAACAAAAAGAAATTAAAAAAATTAACAAAACTCGTCCTTTCTCGGACCTAGGAGAATCTGGATACCAATTTTGGTTGTTCCAGCTTTTATAGTTTCTGAGATCCTTGCGTTCATCCAGACAGACGGACGGACGGACATTTTTTTAAATTTATTTATTTAAAGTTATAACAAATGATACTGCCTGAAGAGATTTCTCCCGCCAGTAGCTTGTAAATAAAAACTACACCATGACAGGTTCTACGATCGTGCAAGGTAGGGAGATCGATCAAAGATAATCTGTCACGATAAGGTGGCAAACGTCGATTGGGATCCCATTGAAGGCCTCTCAAGGCAAACAATAAAAATTGCTTTTGGACGGACTCAATCATTTCCTGGTATTTTTTATACTGGGGTGACCATACACATGAACAATATTCCAAAATGAGACGAACGAGAGATGTATAAAGAATCTTGGTTGTGTACGGATCATCAAATTCCTTCGACCATCGTTTTATGAAACCCAGAACACCTCTAGCTTTACCAACCATATTTACAATATGGGTATTAAAATTAAGCTTCCAATCGAATGCTACACCAAGGTCATAACTAGAAGTGATGCGTTCCATAGTACAGTAGATAAGAGAAAATATGAAGTTTATTTCTATAAAATGACATAACTTTGCATTTGCCAACATTAAGGTATAACATGTTGGAAGTACACCACGACTGAAAATTATTAAGATCAGTCTGAAGTAGTTGGTGATCGCTGATATCAGATAACGTAAGGCAGAGCTTAACATCATCCACATACATTAGAACACGAGAATGATTTTTCACTCGGGGTAGGTCATTAATAAAAAGAACAAAAATCAGAGGGCCAAGGGCTCAGATATGAAGAAATCCAATTAAGCAGTAGGGACGGAAAACCAATTAATTGTAACTTTAATATAAGTATATCATGATTGACAGAGTCAAAGGCTTTGCTAAAATCAGTATAAACAACGTCGGTTTGTCGATTTTGTATAAATCCGTCAATAACGTTTGAAGAAAACTCCAAAAGATTAGTGGAGGTTGAACGGGATTTAATAAAACCATGTTGCGCATCAGAGAAAATCGATTTACAATGATGTTGTGTCTGAGATGTAATCATTTTTTCGAACATTTTTAGTATGGCCGATAATTTGGCGATACCTCTGTAGTTCTCAACGTCAGCTTTGTTCCCCTTCTTGAAAATGGGAGTGATAAAAGATTCTTTCCATAGAGAGGGAAAATTAGAATTTATAAGAGACCAATTAAATAGTTTTAACAGAGGGGGACACAGAGAAGAAGCACAGTATTTTAAAACACAGCTGGGTACTAGATCAGAACCAGTGGAAGAAGTATTCTTCAGTGATTTTAAATTTTGGAGAAGATCAGATTCTATTATTTTAGGGTTGCACAGGATGGTCGAATGAGGTATACAGAATGGGTAAGGAGTTGATATATTAAAGGTAGAGGAACTATAAGTGCTTTGATAAAATTTAGCGAAAAGGTTGGAAATGTCACCAGCAGAATCCGCTTTTCGGCTATTCAAAAACATAGAAAGTGGTAAGGAGTGTGTCTTGCGGTTTGAATTAACATGTCTAGATCGATTTCTCTCGTCATGCTGATTCAAAATATATACAGTTTATGGGGTCGGAGATCCTTCCTTCTGCATGTAACATACTTTGCACAAACCCAATATACCCTTTTTACCCTACGGGTACAGGGTATACAAATTGTGAGCGATTTAAGCTCACGTAAAGGGTGCATAAATGCACAATTACATAACAATTGTGTCTATGTTAGTGTGTAAGCATGTCTATTTGTGGCTGTGTGTGCATGTTTGCAGTACAATGTTGAACCAAAGCAGCAACAGAAAGAACAGGTGCGGGCAGCGCTTGGGAAGTAATTGTATACATATATGGATATAACTTCCTGTTAAATCGGCCTATCATGAAGGAACTGGTATACGGACACATAATCACCAACTGGAGGCATTTGCGAATTGAGTTCGGAATTCCAAGAATTACGGGAGTTATGGAAAATCACTAATTGCGGTGGAGACGGGATATAGAGGGATGTTTTTTTTTAATTGTATTTTCTTCGTGCCTCATTGAGTCAACACGACCACGCAAAACAATCGAATTTTGAAACAACACGCGATCCCACGCAGTGCATGTCTAACTTGCTTGTGGTTGTGAGTAGTCCTAGTTGTCCCCAACTGTTTGATATTTTGTGTAGTTTGCATCCGCGAATTGGAAAAAATTTATATTTTTTGAACATTTTTAAATGCCATTATGTAGCCGATTTAAAATTTTACGTAGGTATTAATTTATTAATGGAATGGAATGGTACTCGTAAAGAGTCGAACGCGCCCAACTGTTTAGAATGTGTATAGGAATGAATGAATTGAAATGAATACAAAGTTTAGTTATTCTATCTCTTAATCTTTCCGAGATACTTGTACATCCAGACGGTCATACATACGTGGCTATTTCGAATCGCCTCGTCATACTGATCAAGAGTTTATATATTTTGTGGGGTCTGCTATTTGCGCAAGAACTACACTGAAAATTTCCTTAATGGACACTTTTTCTAAAACATTCGATCGGTGTATAAAGTATTTAAGTATCCCCTTAAGCAGACACTCCCTTTGGACGGACAAAAATTGGCGGACCGTGAGTGTGCAGCCAAGAGAGTTTTCACTGTATACTAGTATTAGTGTACCAAAACTGTTAAGGTCCTTCTTTTTCATATCGAATTGTAATGACAAGCTCATGTTAGGTTAGGTAAAAATTTACTTTTCGATGGGGTGAAGGGAAATCTATTGGATCGTACATTTATAATACACTGGGTGCGAAATGCAAAAATATACATATAACAATGTAATAAAATTACATATATATAAAAAATGTATAAAGCTAGTCCACGTGATATTCCGTGTGGTGTGGGGATCCCTTGCGTTTTTCGGCTACAAAAACATTACTCATGCCCGCCACGCTAGAAACTCCGCGCAGGCCCGTGCTCTGGAAGTATATAAGCACATACTGCTCACCGTGTCGTAACTCAACGTCGTCAGCAAAATCGATGCGCACCTCTTCCTCGGTGGCCGTTAGTTGGCGTCTTAAGCGCTGACGATTGCGGTGGTGATGTCGACCACGCCGGTGCGGCGCCGGTGTGTCAAAATAGTCCCGGTCGTTGTCCGATGGAGATGAGGGCGACTCCGCTTGATTGACGTACTCGTAGGCTACGTAGCCCATGAGACTACTAAAGTCCTCAGGATAGATACCTATCCAGTCATTAGCGCATTCCTCGAACTCGGGCTGTTTCCGGTACTCCACTGTGTTCTCATCGCCAATCTGCCAGACGATGATAGGGGTAAACACAACACACGGTGCGCGATAGTTGGGGTAGAGCTTAATGGTGAAGTCACTAGTAACCGGTTTATGGTCGCTAATATTGTAAGCGGGATGGGATTTGTAAGAGCACTGCTCTATGGCGAGCTGCATGGCCGGATGGCGGTTCAGCGGCTGCACTGCATACATGATGCGGTCCGTCCAGGCCGGTCGTCGTTTCAAATCGTATTCGGATGTTCCCTCCTTAAATTTGAAAGTGGGTGGAAATTCGGGCAGTCGCTCATGCATTAAGTGAAATGCTTTTTGCGTCTGTTCACGAACAAGATATAACTGGTCCCTTTTCATGAGCGCATCAAGTTGCCGGCCATCGAACACAGCACCGCGTACTTCCGCGGCGGAGTCGTTGCCTTCTAATCTAAAGTTAAGATCGCCAAACCAGAAGACGTAGTCGTGGTCAAAAATCTCGCGGTAGCGCTTAACATGATAATGATGGTTCTCCAGTATTTGTTTGTAGTCCTCAATACGCTCATCTAGTTGGTGGTCGTGTGCTGCCAAGTGGGCCACAACGAATGCCAGTCCGCATCCGTAAAGTGTAAAGCGGATACTCACTGCGCCCTTATTACCCCAAATGCCACCGAACCCAGTGCGAGTGAACTCTGCCTCTACTTCGCGCAAGTGTGCTACATGCGGACGCCTCACAAATATAGTCAACAGGAGGCCCTGCATCTGTTCCGTTTTAGCCACAACATAATTGTATAAACGCAATAATTCCTTTGCCTTGTGCGTCCAAGGATCCTCTTTAAAGAGTCCCAGTACTTGATGCTGCGGTTGTGCGTTTACCTCTTGTAGTCCAAAAGCGTAGATGTCTGGCAGTTGGTCCTCTTTGGTGTTAACGTCACTATCATCATGCAATCCCAGCAGCTGGCGCAATGATATATTGTCCGGAAATCGGCTCCCCACATTCCAAGTGACCACATAAACGCGGTATGTTTCCAGAAGTTGGCGCGAGCTGTTGCTGATGAGAGTGTCAACGGTTTCATTGATCGTATCAGCCGCTGTGCTACTGCTGGGCGTTTTATTCATTGTGCTATGTTTTGTTCAATTAGGCAAAAAAACAACAACAAGAGCTAAGATGCCAACTGTTACTCAGCAAATAAATTTAGTCATACTCTGTATTGTACCCATACATACATATGCATGAATAATACTTACTTTAATACGCTGCTAGTTTGTTTTCACAATGGATACGTTGTATGGTCAGCATGAAGTAATCAACAAGTACCAAGCTAACGAGAAGTAAATAAAGTCAGTGTTGAAATACTAATGCTAAATAGCTGTAAGCGATTTGGCCAGTTATCGATTAACCGAGTTTGTTTGTCTGTAAAGTTGTATCACTCTACCGTTTTAGTAAACAGGCTTATTTCTTTATAAAGAAAATAGCTCTCATTCATTTAACAGCTGGTTTACATACAATAGAATAAAAAATGAAAGGATTTTTCTGATCTAATGTGTATTATCGAGTATTTGGGCGCCGGCAATATTACAAGTTGTACAATTGTGCAACACTGACAATACACTTGTTTGTAGTTTATTTGTGTTATGCGTTGTTTTTAATGTAATTTGTGCTTTATTAGTTGACAGTTGATAAGCGCCTATAATACCTATGTGTATGTATGTAGAGCAGACGGTGAATATTTTCTCATGATTAGATTTTCGGAGCGTGCCTCGAAGCGGTTATATAGCACGACACGTAGCGTGTGCTCGGAGCCCCAAGAACACCAAATAATTTGGTGCGATGTGTGCTTTGGTTATTGTTTGCGCGTTCAATACGACATACTAACGTCTCCGTCATCGGAAACGTTGCGCGTTGTATTATGTAAATTGGTCGTCTGCGACTGTTCAACAGAAGTTTTGGAATCCTGCACCACATAGATTTCGCCTTATTTACTCCAAAACGTTGACGTACTTTTCTGTTTGTTTGTGGCGTTGAGTTGCGAGATCGAGCGCCCTTATTTACGGGTTTCGTCGCGAAAATCAGCAGTCAAAGCAACCAAAATTGTTTAGCACTCGAACCTTATTACTTAAGGTGAACTACAGACATAGTGCTTGCGTATATGTGTGTATTCATGCTGCTATGTGTATATTAACATAAATGTAGGTGTGCATGAATAGGCAACCGATGCATCTAATAGTTGCTGAATTTAAATTTCACCTTGCAGTGTAAAATGCAAAAGCCTAAGACAGCCACTGCTGCAGCAGCCGCCGCCATAACCTCAGCGACGACGACGGCCTCCTCCGAGCCTAGCAGCCCTTCAAATGTCCCTTCCACTGTAGCAGCGACATCTACCAGCAGCAGTGGCCGTCATCAATTACGTCCTGTTAAATACGACTATGCCGATTCCTTTGCCTGCACCTACATTGTTTCGGTTGTGGCTGCGTCCATAGCCGAACTGACAACCTACCCGCTGGATTTAACAAAAACGCGCCTGCAGATACAAGGCGAGGCAACCACCACAGCCGCAGTTACCGCCACTTCTGCTGGCGAAAATGCTGCTGTCACCATGGGCAAGCCCAACGTGAGTAGTCGCTGTCGATATCCATTGCCTAGAATTGCTATACTATGTAGTTCTTGTTGATTTTATTGTCCTGCATGTCGTGCTACGCAAATCATCAGTCTGCCTTTGTGCCTATTTACGGTTATGGTCTCAAAACTCTGTTTCGTATCTTACAAGTATATCCGTATTTCCTCATCGAATAAGGGATTCGCCAATCATTGCTCTAGTCGTAAAAAGGTCAGATTGTGTTTTAGTATTATTCTCAAGACATGGATGTTAATCTAGATGAAATGAATTTTTATCTAGACAAAGTCCAACAATTTATCACATATAAACACTAAATCTATCTTTAAATCTACTTCAAAAATTCAATTGTTGTCTCAAATTTGAACGTTAAATCCGTCCTTTTATTAATACCTGTATTCACACATGCATACATACTTAAGCATATACTATATGTAAGTATCTCTGTATTTTGGGCGAAAGATATTTTTTTTTTATATACTCTGTACATTAAATGTACAAGAGTATTTTAGGTTTGCGCAACGACAGAACGAGGGTGACAGACCCCACAAAGTGTACATATTCTTGATCAGCATGACAAGATGAGAGTCGATCTAGCTTTATTTGTCCGCATGAACACCTGGATCTCAGATACTCAGATTTGTTATATTTTTTGGATTTACAGTTAGTGGATTTGTGTCTGTTTGCCAAGTTTCATTGTGATGGGTCATTTTGAAAGGAAGTTAGAGACATAAATGTCCAAGCTCTGCCTACAGCTGTTGTTGTTGCTGCTTTGGCTCAACTCTGTACTGCACACATGCTCACACACAGACACGCATATACACATTTCCTATGGACACAGCTGGACAGAATAATATACATATACATATGTATTATTTCTGCAATCCACCATGTTTAATCTTTGAAATTGCGTTGAAAATTGTCTAATATATTATACCGTTTACCTACACTTGGCGTTGGAATAATTAAAGTCAAATTTGACAACCCAAAAATAAATCGTACACAATAAGTTTTTCTCTATTTGAAGTCTTTTATTTTATTTTAATACTTTGTCGCCTTTCCTTTTTGTTTAATAACAGGTTCCAAGCGTCTGGGCATTGAGTTAATTAATGTTCTTGTATAATTAGGGTAAATTTTCGACCATTCATCTGGTAATACGCCTCTCATTTCATTTCTGTTTGAAAAGCAACTATTTCTCAAGACGGTCCCACAAATGTTCAATGGGATTGAGATCAGGTGATTGTGGTGGCGTTTTGATAACTTTTGGACAATTGTATAACAACCACAGCCTTGTATTTTAGGGCTGTATGTTTGGGGTCATTGTCTTGATAGAATTGGAAGACATCCTTAAGGCCCAATTTCTCGGCTCTTGGTCTTAAATGGTCTTTTAAAAGTTGGATATAATATTTATGATCCATTATAGTATCAATAAATACCAAGTCGCCGACTCCAGTTGCCGCCATACACCCCCAAACCATGACTCCTCCTCCACCATGTCTTACAGACGGTACCATGTTTCTTTCTTCGAGCTCAGTTCCTGGTTTTCTATACACCAACAATCTTCCATCGCAACCAAAGAGATGCGAAAATTACCCTTTCCCAAAATTCTAAAGGCTTGTTTACGTACTCCTTAGCGAATTTTATTATTGGTTTTGTCGCTGAAGTATGTTTATTTTGAAAACGAATTGATTTTTTGAGAAAAATTAGAATATACATATGTATGTATATGAAAAGCAAGCTTTTTTTGAAAAAAAGGTTCTCACACCTATTATTCTTTCCAGCTGTGTATGTAATGTGTATGTTTAATTTTTTAAAATGATTCTACACTTATGTATGTACAGAGTATTTTAAAGTCGGGACTCCCGATTTTTGCTTCTCCACTTGTTTTTGTTTTGTTGTATATTTCACCACCTAATCTATGTTGTATGTTGTTTGTTGTCGTGCTCAATGAATCAATAAAATGCTACCCAATTACTAGATGCAATATCGCGGCATGATGGCCACCGCCTTTGGCATTGTACGCGAGGAGGGCGCCCTTAAATTGTGGCAGGGCGTGACACCAGCGCTCTACAGACACGTCGTCTATAGGTGGGCAAAACGAAATACGCTATACCTACACCCATACATACAAAATTGACCTAAGCGTAGATATATAGTAATTATTTATATATACAAAAATTCCTACAAAAGTCATCCATACATAGATATGCACAGAAAATTTGAATGTAGTACCAGAGAAGCCCTTACAATGAAGTAGGACTTCTTTTTTCGCTCTAAAAATACTATTTGGCCTTTAATGTTATACGTATATATGTATGTTTATACCCATCAAAATTTAAGGGATAAAAACTAGTGAATTGAAAAGAGTATATTTTAAAGTAAATTGAGAAATGGACTGTACTTACAATTTTCAGAAAAGAAAACGATTCCGTTCTCAATAGGTAACACAAATACTTACATATCTGACATATAAATTGAAACAAAAGTCATAAAGTAGAAAACCACCGAACATTATTTAGAAAGATATGTAAATTGTTGTGCACGAAAAAACGATTTTCATTCTAATAAATAGCTGTAAAATTTATCTGATTCACTCATGTACTTGTATGTATGTATATCCATCAAAATTTTAAAAATTGTAAAATTTTCTTTACCCTTTTTTTAAAATGAATAGATATAGAGTTGTTTGATACGATATAATTATTTTTCATATAACTTGCATAGTGATGAAAAGTATAGATCGCGAAAATGGCTGATAAAATGCAGGATAGTGATCCTATTACATTTTACTATAATATATAATATAGACCAAAAGCCATAGAGGATTATAATTTAATATGGCTTTTTAAAGGAAGAATTATACAAGTTAGGAATAAGATTATATTACAGTTTGTATACCAATTGTGGCCCTAAACTAATGTTATCCATATATTTTGTGCATCTCTCAAATAGCGGCGTGCGCATATGTAGCTATGATTTGATGCGCAAAGAGTTCACTCAGGGCGGAAATAAGGCACTGCCTGTGTGGAAATCGGCGCTCTGTGGCGTTACCGCCGGTGCCGTAGCTCAATGGTTAGCGTCGCCTGCTGATCTCGTCAAGGTCCAAATACAGATGGAAGGCAAACGGCGTCTGATGGGCGAGGCGCCCCGAGTTCACGGCGCTGCCCACGCTTTCCGTATGATTGTGCATCGCGGAGGCGTCAAAGGGTTATGGAAGGGCAGCATACCCAATGTTCAGCGCGCAGCATTAGTGAATTTGGGTGAGTGAATAAAAGCAGGGAAGGAGAGAATCGATACGCTTTTTATACCCTGTACAGAAAAATATAATGGGCGGAGGATGACTCAATAGGTGTATATATTCTTAATGAGCATGACAAGATGAGTCGATTTAGCCATGTCTGCCCGCCCGTATGAACACCTATGTATGTAGATCTTATTTTATCTTTTTTATTCAAAATAAACACATTATAAACGTATTTACCTATAGAGGTAAATAAATGCATGTTATTTTAGTAATACATATTATATAAAATACTACCGCGTAAAGAAGTAGTAGCATTTTATCTATATATAAAACAGTTTGTCCTGACTGACTGACTGATTGGTGATCAACGCACAGCCCAAACCGTAAAGGCTAGGGAGCTGAAATTTGGACTCTAGTATCCTTTCATAGTCTAGGTGCCCACTAAGAAGGGATTTTGGAAAACTCCAGCTCCAAAGGGGAGAAAACAGGCTCCAACGTTTGTATAAAAAATCTACAGTTTTCATCTGATTAACTTCAAACTTAGTTTGTATACTTTCAGAACAATTCCAAGAAAAACTGTATACTTGGTTTTTTGATATTTTTTGGGGCCCAAAATATGGGAGTTTTCCTGTCAACAGCCCACAGCCCACACGGTAAAAGCTAGGATGCTGAAATTTGGGCTCAAGTATCCTATCATGGTGTAGATGCGTACTAAGAAGGGATTTTGGAAAATTCGAACTCCAAAGGGGGAAAAGTAGCTCCAAAGTTTGTTTGAAAAATCCGCATTTTTCAACTGATCAACTTAAAATTTAGTTTCTAAAATCAATTAAAGAAAACAAACAAAACTGCATACTTAGATTTTCGAAATTTGTGTTGTTATTGGGGTTTTAATATTTATTCACTATTTCAAATGAAAAGTTTGTGTTATAAATTTAGTCCGATCGATTTAAAATTTGGGTAATGTAACAAAAGCAGGCAGAACAAACAATACAAAATATCAAACAGTTGGGGACAACTAAGTATACATACACACACACATACAAACAGCTGTTCGTGTAGTTGCGTGCAAACGATTGAAATAGCCAAAGCAAAATGTGAGACACTAATGTGTGAATGTCCATACATATGTGCACATCTATGTATGTACATATGTATCTACATATGTATGTATGTACATTCGTCTTGCACTGACAGAGCAAGAAATGTTAATTAATTGAAAATTATATAACATTTTTAAACATCTTTTTCTTTGTTTAGTGCATTTGGCATTCGGGTTTTCATTAATAACTTTATGCAGCAACAACAAATTACAAAGAACGCAAATATCAAATAGTTGGGGACATCATATACACACACTCACACACAGAACAAGTAACAGTTCGGGTCTATGTATGAAAATGTAAAGAGAAACATGCATGCATATGTATGTACATACATATGTATGTATGTATGCCTGTGTACGTACATATATAGCATGTATGTACATTCGTATGTGTGTATGTATGTATACATTGGACAATCGAGCACTGTTGCTTGATTGTAATAAATAATGTTCTATGGTTTTAAATCAAATTTTTAAAACAAAATACAACAACAACAACAGTAAGTCATTGGCTCGCTCTTCTTTCGTTTTGATCATTTACGCTTGTTAATTTCAAAGGCAAAATGCCAAAAGTTTACAGTTACCGTCGCTAGGCAACGACTGCGTAAGCGATAGTAATAACTCGACCGTGTGTACAACGTGCTGAGGAAGCACAGTTAAGTCAGGACTGGCAGTCCGCCCGGTGCGTAACGAAGATACATATGTACATATGTATGTATGTACGTATAACCATTCATAGTACTTGTACTATATTTGCTATTTTGAAAATGAACTCTTTAAAAAACTCTTGAGAGCGTCGAAAGAAGAATATCATATAGTAAATAAACTTATAATTATAAGCACATTTTACTTAGCCCAGCAAAGACGGGCAAGACCTGCTAGTATAAAATGTATTACTAAAATAACATGCATTTGTATAGTTCAAATAAATATAGTGTGTTTATTCAAAATAAACACACTATAAAAGTATTCATGTATAGAGGTACATAAATGCATGTTAATTTAGTGGTACATTTTAGATAAATGCTACCGCATAAAGAAGTAGCGGCACAAAACATAGTTATGGAGTGGCATCTGCACGAAGAAGTAAAATTACTTCTTCATAGAATATTTAATAAACTGGGGCATAATAGTGCAGATGTGGTATAAAATATATATATGGGTTTAACTAACGACTGGTATATTAAAATAAACCTGGGGGTGTTTGCAAAATTTTAGTTCGAAATTCCAAGAATTACGGGAGTTAGAGAAAATGGCGATTTGCATGGGAGAGGGGGGAGGAAGGGAAATTCCAAAATTCACATTTTCTGCGTATTCACAAAAGGCATCTTGGACTAAAATGTGGTGTTCCTAGGTCTTATAGTATCCGAGATATAGGCGATTATACGGATGGACAATCGGGAAAACTCCCATAGGGGGGAAGTGGAGGGAAAATCAAAAAAATAAAACAAACTTGCACAGCGTACACACAAAAGGCATCTTTGTGCAAAATTTGGTGTGTCTAGCTCTTATAGTCTCTGAGATCCAAGTGTTCATACGGACAGACAGACATAGATCGACTCGTCTTGTCATGCTGATCAAGAATATATATACTTTGTGGGGTCTGCCACGCCTCCTTCTGCCTGTTACATTTTCAGCTCACGCAAACCTAATATACTCTTGTACATGTTATGTACAAGTTGGAAAATCTCTGCCGTTAGTGATTATGAGTCCGTATCCAAGTTTCATAATGATAGGCCGACTTAACAGGAAGCTAGAACCATATACATATGTACACGGTCGCAGCCGTTGTTGTTGTTGCTGCTCTGCACAGGCACACGAGGCATACACAGCCACTCACAAACATGCAAAGACACGCATAATTATTTTACACATATTTACAGAGTATTTCAAAGTTGCGTCACCCGACTTTTGCTTCTCCCAATACCAATCTTAGCACAAATTATAGAGCTAGTTAAGAGTTATAAGCATTAACAAAATAAAACTTCGTTTTCATCTGACTTTTTTTTTACTTTATACATATGGATGTGTACGATTGTCCCAAGCGACATCATGAAAATGTCCATATATGTACGTATCTATATACAAAGTGCGTTCCAAAGTAAACAGGACTTTTTGAATCTATCTATTAGTCGACTAGTGCGTTAGAATCTGATATCTTTATCGATTGTCTAGTGAGAATTTCATGACATTTCATTGATTGGAAGTGAAGTTATTGCGTTTTAAGTGTCAGTATGTTTGTGTTATCGGTGCGAAAATGAGTTTCGAACAAAGAGCCAACATTAAATTTTATCGCATTTTGACCGAACATTTGGGCTAACGAAAGGTGTGTGCACGGTTTGTTCCGCACAAATTGACTGACGACCAAAAATTGCTCAGAATCGATCGACGCTTCTGACCGATTATTTGACCAAAAATCACATTTTAACCATTAACCACTCGCCGTATTCACCTGATATGGCACCGTGCTACTTCTACCTTTTCGGAAAAATGCGTTTGCCCATGAAAGGAAAGCGTTATGCAGACGTAGAGGCCATTCGAAAGGCTTGCACCGGCATACTGGCGGCCATACCGGCCAACGAGCTAAAACACTCGTTCGACATGCTTTTGGATCATGCAAAAAGCTGTATTGAAGCAGAAGGAGACTATTTTGAATAAAATAAATTTGTTCGGTTGTTTTTTTAAAAGACCTGTTTACTTTGGAACACTTATTGTACATATATAAAACAGTTTGTCCTGACTGACTGACTGACTGACTGGTGATCAACGCACAGCCCAAACGTTAAAAGCTAGGAAGCTGAAAGTTTCAAGTATTCTTTCAAGTATCCATTCATAGCGTAGGCTGGCGATAAGAAGCGATTTTGGAAAATTTGAGCTCCAAAAAATTAAAAAAAAAACTGCATACTTGGTTTTTTGAGATTTTTCTTGGGGCCTGAAATATGGGAGTTTTCCTGTAAAAATAATGTTGGGGCACAAAAGGAAACAGCGTCAACAGCCCACAGTCCAAACGGTAAAAGCTAAGAAGCTGAAATTTGGGCTCAAGTATCCTATTATAGTTTAGATGTGCACTAAGAAGGGATTTTTAAAAATTCGAGCTCCAAAGAGGGGAAAACAAGCTCCAAAATTTGTTTGACAAATCCAATTTTTCAACCGATCGACCTAAAACGTGGTTTCTGAAATCAATAAAAGAATACAAATACATATTCGGTTCTTTGAAATTGGTCTTTGAGCTTGAATTATTGGGGTTTTTATATTTCTTATCTTTTTATAGCCTGTACCCAAAGGGTAAAAGGCTATACAAGGCCATAAGAATTGATTTACAATAACTTAAAGTTAAATACAAAATTACAGCCTTAATATTAGTGCATTTGTGTGAGGAGGCAGCAGTGTAGTTAAACGTCCTTCTGTGAATGATTGAGTGGAGGGGAAGCGGAAAAAGCCGGAGCATGGTGATGTAGGAGGAGCACCAAAATTAGTTAAATTGTTCAATTAAGTTGATCGACAATTACAAATAGACTTAAATTAGGGTCACAAAATTTGCATAAATAGGACAGAATAAACTAATAAATATAGATGTATAAAAATGAACAAATGTACCCAAACGGTAAAAGTTTTGTGTATGTAACATACAGAAGGAGGCGTGGCAGTCCACATAATATACATTATTGATCAGGATGAACGCAAGGATCTCAGCAAGCACAAGAGCAAGAATAACCAAACTTGGTATTCAGATTATCCTAAGTCCGAGAAACGACGCGTTTGTGTTTTTTTTTTTTCTTTTCTGATACACCCCCACTCCCCCACAATTCATGTTTTCCATAACTCCCGTAATTCTTGAAATTTTTGATTCAAATTGGCAAATACCTCCAGTTTGTGATTATGCGTCCATATGTTAAGTATTATAATGATTGGTC